TCCAGAAGGGAAAATTATGAACTTGCAGACTGTGTGCTAGTGACAGCAGTGGATACAGTCAGCAACTTCTAACTGGCAAATGTAATTTTTAAAATAAAATGTGAGGACTCTTAACAGATATTCCTAATTCTTGGCTTTCACAAAGGTAGAAGTACAGAGTAAATCCAGTTCCTTTGTTACTCATGCTGAAATAAAATTCATCCTGCAGTCCTTTTTCAGGCAATATCCCATTGCCAACAGTGGAAGTTTAGCTTAACAGTAGCAACAGCTGCAAAAACCTTCAGTTGAGTTCAGTAGCAGGAAGTTCTCACAGCTTCAGTGGTGTCACTGTAGCACCACAAGCCTTTAAATTACATTTTGTTCTGCAACAATTATTTGGCAGAATAGAAAATGCGCTTTTCTCATTTATTGGAAAGATACACAGTTATTACTTTTTTTTGTGCAAATACAGTTATCAGTTTTAGGTGCTATTAATGTGTCTATGTGTTCTTCCTGTCTGTATTTAATAAAAGGAGCTGCTAAAAGATTTTATTATGTTAGCTGTTATTTATTTTACTTTGATGAACTGGAGAACAAACACACATAAAATTGTAATGTATCAAATATACCTCTCTCTTCATTTGTTCTCCTATTCTCTCTTATTTCTCCTTTTTCATCTTTTTTTTTTTTTTTTTCCTCATAACAAATTTCTTGGTAGCATTTAGATGTCTTTTACATTTCTGTTTAGTAAATACAACCCTCCCCCCCCCCAACAAACAGATCCTAAAATTATAGACCTTTTAACAGAAATATTGAAAAAGCTGAATTTATCAACATAATATTATACCTATAAATGTATTTAATAATTAATTGTGTGTAAACGGCTCATTTGTATGGTTCAGTTTCAAATAAAGCAGAAAACTGCAAGTGAACATATGCAATCTGAAGGCTAACAACAATTTTCGGTAATTCCATTGAAAAAAGATGTGGCTATATTCTAATTTCAGTTCACTGAGGTAGAAGGAGTAGTTGAAACAAAGCAGCAAGGGATATGTCAACTTTAGATTGTGTAGTGTACTTATCCTCTGACAAATTACAGCAAAACCAAAGACCTAAGAGTTTATATATGAATGAATAATACTAAAAAAGATACATTGATATAATTTAAGGTTAACGGGATTGTTCTTGTTTTTACCTGCAGTTTAGAGCAGAGCTCAATCTTCTTCAGTAACGTAGGATTTGATCCGAAGTATGCAGTGGTGACAAGACCCATTGATTCTTGCTGGGAACAAAAATACTCAGACATAATGTATGCTTGGTAAAATTGTATTTTATCACTCAGAGTGAGGCTGTCAATGACTTTGCATACAGACTGTTTACAATGTGGTAGAGGTTGATAATTAGGCAGGGTGCTTCCTGAGAAGCTGTGCTCTCCTCGCTTGGGGTTCAACTGGCAGATCCTGAATATGCTGAAATTCATCCTGGGAGGTGTGAGATCTCTGGAAGCGTGGAGCACTCCTCACTCTTTAGGAGCCTACAAGAAGATAGACTACTATTAAAAACTTTGGAGAGAGGCTTGATTTCTCTGAAATTTCTATTTAGTGTTGGAAACTTGGTCTTCATTATTTTGCAGTTTAAGTTCCTTTGACCTAAGTGGATGTTTTGAGTGCACACAGACTGTAACACTCATCCCTTCAGAAAATAAGGATTCTCTCAAACAGTGTTTTCAGCCCTAAGGGCTGAGTTGTCTGAGGTATTTTGCTCCTTAGAAAATCACATTCTGTATTTTTAAAATATAGTGGCATAAAGGGAAGGTCTCCATGCACTGTGTTTTGCATTGTTCATGTGCTGAATATGCATGCAGGAGGTGGAAATATTTGGTACTGGTAGAGAGGTGAAGTAGTTTGTACTTTGAGAGTATTAACTGGTAAGCATTGCAACTGTCTACTGGATGTGGCTTCCATAGCAAGTAGTAATTTCAAGCATATGAAGTGAGATCTATAGTGAACAGTTCAGGAAGAGAATAAAAATAGGGATGAGTGTGTAAGTGGGTCTTGTCACTCAGAGAAGAGATGTAAAATAGGAGGTGAAAAGGGTGACCACTGTGTTCCTGCAAGGAGCATGCCTTCACAGTTTCCCCATGAGATATGTATATTACAGTAGGTAAGGAATTTTCAGGCAAGGACTTTTAGGGAAGAAGATTCATGGATACAAAAAAAATAGATTTTTAATTTCTTAGTATTGCCTTTGGGGGGAAGAAGAATGGAATACTCTGCTTCAAATTGAAGCAGATTGATATATTTCACTGGATCAAACTGAATTCTAAGTACATTTGAGGTTAAGTAAATACTAGTTTGTAACAATTTATAGCACTGCAACCACTGTAGCGTATTTATGATGGCAAGGTTCCCATTCTTTATGCTTAAGCTTCCTGGTTCAGTTAAAAACAATGAGTTTCCCCTGTAATTTAATTATTTATCCTGAATTTTAAGAATGCTATTGCAACAGTGATTTATGACAGAAGCAGTGCAGATGAAACAATGCTAGGATGAGCCAATGGACCTCCAGTTCTTGGGAAGAAATATAATTAGCAAATAGCAAACAAGATCTCAGTGATTATCTAAAATGTGCAGTTTGTCAAATTGGGTTGACAAATTTCACTTCCAGTTCAGTATCAATTTCATTGATAGGGCAAAACCACAGAATGTGTACCTGATGTTTAGATACAAATTGTATTTGCTTATCTTGATACCTGAAAAGAACTTTGTCCAAACTTCTAATAATAAAAATGACAATAATTATATCAGCACACAGTATATGGCAACAAGGTGATGTAAACATTATTTGTAATACAAATAAGGTTTTTATGTTAAATGATGCCCTATGTTTGATTACTATGAAGTAAATCTAGAGAGTACTATAGTGACTATTCTTCCATATGCTTACCTATCTTGACATTGTACTTGTGGTTCACTGGATCCACAAATATGGAATGAGATACTCAGATGAACTGATCCATGTGTAAAAGTCTGTAGGAATGATTATAACACCTTGGTGAGCAACAGTAGTGCTGGAAACACCAATCCTCGAGTTGTGAGTCAGTTCAGTGTCAGGCATCTCCCACTAATTTGTCAGTTGTGTGTTAAATTTCATCTCTGAAACCAGAGGAAAAAAAAAAAAAGATTACCTTGTAGAAGTTCTTTAGAGCAGTTATAGCAATGAACCCATGCATGAAGTAGCATAAAAAAAATAAAACCAGCATAAATTAAGGGTTAAGTTAGAGATATTGAAAAATAAGTGCAATAGTACAATATTTAGATTTCTTCTGGCAAAAACATCTAAACCAAAGAACTGAGCCTTGGGGTGTAATTAGGTTGCTGCCACAGAGATGCACATTGATTGCTGCAGTTCATGTGGAACTGTGAACAGAGATGTGTCAAATGAAAATGCACATAAGATTTGGGAGGTATTGAAGAAATGGAATCATCCTAATTTTAAGGAGTAGAAGCAAAACTACTCCCTTAAACAGAATCTTTCAAAAGGGAGATGACACACAAAGCTGCCCACCGGACTCCTCTGAGGACCGTAATGACTACTGGCAATGTGTTTCCAGCAACTTAGTAGCAAGGTCTGAGAAAGGTCCTAATACCCTTTTCAGAAAGGCGTAGACAAAGTCAAATAATCACATTCATAATAGTTAAGGAGAGTAACATAACTCTAGTAAAATAGCAACAAGAACAGCTATTCTCCGGGGAGTCTTGAAGTCCCTACTGTGCAGATCCTTGCTTTCCCGAGTGGTTAGTGACCTCCAGCAGCACCCGGCCTTCTTAAATAGCGGCAGCAGCAGCTGCTCCACACAAATCCCAGATCCTCAATTTGTAGCAGCTGAGATATCTCTAGGACTGTGTTTATCAATGATGTCTTTCTTTTGTGATGCTACAGAACTGGTTCAAATATAATAAAGTCCAGAGGGATCTCTTTTCTCAAAGTGATGTCCTCAGTTATAAATCTTTAGCACCAATATTTGATATCTGAAAAATTGTATCTTAATTACCAAATATTCACATTGTACTTACAGTAATTATTTCTTTAAAAAGTGAAGAACTGAATGTATGGGAACTAAGCACAGTAATTTCTTGGCACCAGCAGTGAGTGTCCTTGTTTCACTTGCTAGTTTTCTTACTACCTCCCAAGAAACAGTACTATTCAATCTGAGAGCATTAAGACTCTGGACACTTTTTAGGCACTGTGGTCTCAACTTTCACCAAGTACTCAATGCAGAGAAACATAGAGTAAAAAATTTGGGTAGGCCAGGGTGTCGGGAGCAGGCACCCTAATGTTGTGAATTTATGTTTGCAAAGCACTTTGCAGGAGAACTCCAGCTCATTTTAGCTGAGCCGTATATCACCTTGGGTGTGCTCACACAGTCTCTGCCTATTTCAGAGCACATCTGGAGCTCCAGCCCAACATCTTGGAAATATGGACAGCCCCAGAGAGCTTCTTCACATCCTCCTGCAAAATGCAGTACAGATCAACTCGAAGTGAATTCTAATTAAAACCTCTTTAAGAGATAAGGTTTAGTAGGTAACACAGCATGTGCATTTATAGTGAAAGAGTAAAGAAGCTAAATCTTGAGGCAAGACAGGGGTCAAGAAGCAGATAAAATGACAGAGTGACACAGTGGATCACTGCAATAGCTGTGATTATTATAGCTTGTTATTACAGATTATAATAGAGACACACAGCATGCTATTTTCTTAGACCTTTTCTTTATAAGGCAGGAGAAAGTAGATTATGTGTTACTTAACAGTGCCACATCCTTGTATCAACCAGCAGCCATAGGGATTAAATCTGTGATTTCGAGACTTCATCAATGTGCTTCTACTGTTCTTCTGTCTATCTATATTAAGGTAATCTACATCATGACCATATGAGTCATCCTATAAATCATATGAATAACATGTTTAAAGCTAGTAAAATTTTCTTTTAAAAATTACTTTCTTTTCTCTTTTTTTTTTTAGTGTTTTTCTGATAATAAGCCCTAAACTCTGATACCCATGGATGCTGCAGAATTCCGCAAGAGAGGGAAGGAGATGGTGGACTATGTTGCAGATTACCTGGAGAAGATAGATAAAAGACAGGTCTTCCCAGATGTGGAACCAGGATACCTAAGGCCCCTCATCGCAGACTGTGCACCCCAGGAGCCTGAGAGCTTTGAGGATATCTTTAAAGACATTGAGAAGATCATTATGCCAGGGGTAAGAAAAACAGATCTGTAGTGTAATCTTCAATATTGCATTTAGGTTTTCACAGACTTTAGAGAAAGTGTGGGTTGAAGGCTGTGCAGCTAAATCTTACCAATGTTAAGTACCCAAACTTAAACTTTTAGAAAGCAGGAGTCTGCTTTACATGTTAAATATGATCTCACGCTTTACACAACTAATGTCTTCTGTTCTTCCTAGAAATAATTAAGTAATTCTTTTCCTTCAAGCAAGGCTTACTTTTGGAAATAATCCCCTTTCCTCCCTTCAACTGGTTAAGGCAAAGCTTTATAAGTTTCAATTTCATGTGATATTTTTGCTACTCTCATAGCACAGTAAATATTTTACAAAATGGTATTTTTATTAGTCTGCTGTGCCTAAAGTGTTCTTTCAAGCTGATCTTTAAATGTTAAAATTGTCTTAGGAGACTTCTTTTTATTACAGAGTTGACTAGAAAGGATTCTCCCCAATACTTGTTCTGTTGACTTTTGCTCTCTGTGCTCTAAATGTCAGCTTCTTCTAGTACCTTGTAAGGCAGATGGCCACTACCTAAATATTTGTCCCTGGATAGGTTAGTATTGGACAGCAGTGCAGAACAAAGCATCTGGCATTTGCCTAAGTCTGAACCTTTTTTTTTTTTCTCATCGTATACTTTTTTTATTTTAGATATATGCTTGTCTTCTAAGATCTCTAAGTAGCTTGAAGAGGACTGAGTTATAAGTAAATGTTAATAAGGAATCTCTCCTTTGGATCTCTGCAATAGCTACCTTGGGTTACTTCTCTAGGTATAGCTAGGTGATACAACTGTGATGTGAGTGGACATCACAATCTCCAAATGTGTTTAGTCAATGTACTGTAATACCAATTCCTTTTCATTGACCAGTGAAAATATTTGATATTCAAGATGACTTTATCTTGTTTCCCTTGGAGCCAGTCCTGCTGTCCTTTAGCAGGCAAAAGCTTCACTGAAGTCAATTGAAATCTCTCCACTCTTTTCCAAGATTTGTGGATGAAGTCTTAAATCCAACAGAGTTAAATCAGTACAGATTAGATAAGAGAATTATGTCCAACACATACAAATACTTTAACTGCTGCTCATAGATGTGATTGCCTTTTCATTGTAGGAAAATGGTAATGACTGTGAATTAGAACAGAAAACACTTTACTTTGAACACTTAAGAACATTCAATAAAATAATGCCAGATTAAAAAAATAAGAGATGAATCATTTGAGAATAGAAAGTGAGACACTGAATTCCAATTATGTCATCAATATGTCATGTTCCCTCTTAACTTGATTTATGCTTGATATTTACATGCCCTGCAAACAAATTTCCTTTTACAAAATGATACATTCTGAAGAAGAAATTTTCTAACCAAAATCTTTCCACTGTGAAACGTTATTGTTAGTGATGCAAAGAGCACAGGTACAAAAATCCCAGTTCTTATAGTAACTCTGATTCTGCCTGTGTTGTTTTTACAAAATTCTGAAGACTCACATGAGCACAGCATCACAAGGTCATAGTACTGTAGTGATTGGATGGTGCCTCTGGGGATCATTTAGTCTACCCCTGCTGCTCAAGGCTGAGTCAGTTAGAGCAGGTTGTTTAGGACTATGTCCAATTGGTCATGGAGTATCTCCAAGGATGAACTCTTCACAATCTGTTGTCCTATTCCAAAGTTGGACCTGTCTCGCAGTAAAAAAGCTCTTGCTTATGCTTAAGTAGAATTTTCTGTATTTCTATTTGTACACATTTCTTGTTGTCACTGGATCCTGCTGAGAAGAATCTGGTTTCACCTTCTTTACACCCTCCCATGAAGTGTGTAAAGAGAGTTAACACATGAACAGGATACGCCCTGAGCTTCCTGCAAGCTGAACAATCCCAGCTGCAATTAGTAATCATCTCCATAGCCTTTCACTGGAATCTATCCAGTATGACCATGTCTTTCTTTCTTGTCCTGGAGAACACAGAACTGGACACAGCATTCCAGGTGTAGCCTCCCCAGTGTCGCATAAAAAAGAAGGATCACCTCTTTTAAGCTGCTGCCAACAGTTTTCCTAATGTGGCCCAGCAATGCTGCTGGCATTGTTTGCTGCAAGGGCACATTGCTGGCTTATGTTCAGCTTGTCCACCAGGACTGCCCCAGTCCATTTCTTCAGAGGTGCTTGCCAGCCAGTCAATCCCTGGCCTGTACCGGTGCAGGGGGTTATTCCTCCCCTGGTATGGGATTTTGCATTTCTCTGTTGAACTTTATGGCCCATTTCTGCAGCCTGTTAACATCCCTTTGAATTGCAGCATGATCATACCATGTATCAAACACTCCTTCCAGTTTTATGCCATCTGCAACACTGCTGAGGGTGCACTCTATCGCATCATCCTGGCCTTTAATGAAGATGTTAAACTGTACTAACCTTTCTTCTTCACAAAGCTTTGCTGCCTAGCCCAAATAACCTTCTTGTCCCATGTTTGGAAATAGCTTAAAGATTCTTTCATCTTCCCTGGGATTGAGGTGAGGCCTGTAGTTTCAAAGATCCTTCTTGAAGATAGGAGTGACATTTTCTTTTTTTTCCAGTCTTCTGGAACATTCCCCAGCTGCTTTAACCTTTCAAGGATATTTGAGAGAGGTCTCAGTGACATCCTTTAGCTGCTGCAGCACTTGTGAGTGCACCCCATTAGGCTCCATGAACTCATGTATGTCTAGTTTATTTAAATATGTCCTAACTTGATCCTCCTCCAAGTAAGGTCTTCCTTGCTCAAGTCTTTGCTCAAGTCTTTTCTCATGCATTTCAGGAGCCTGGGATTCATGACTGGATGATTAAAAGTGTGAAAATAGTGTTCCTTCAGACGAGCAATGATCACTTAATAGTGTGGAAGCAATTATGCAGTATCCATTGCTATCTTTACCCTACAGGAGAACAAGTATTCATGACTAGTGAAACTTCTTTATGGAGACTTATTGTGAAATGTAATGTAGACCTCCAAAGGGCAGTGCACCAAATGATAACGACAATAATGGTGATAAATTCCTGATATTAACACAGGGCCAGAGAGAATAACCAGTGAACTCTGATCTCCACAGCAGGAAGGCAACATGGAAAGGGTCTACCTGTAAAAATATCGATGGGAATCACTTTTCTCTCTCAGATTTGCTTTCTTCTTTTGAAATGTATCTCCTTTTTCAGAGCCACAGATGACTGAGTGTAGTTGTAACTGCAAATATCATTACTGAAGATGCTAATTTTCCTCACATTGGATCCATTAATGTGAGAACTTTCAGCTGAATTATCAATCCTTAGTGTGTGGTAAGGGAAGACTGTTTCTTAGACTATGCAAGCTAGAGAAAGACGTCCTTAGAAGAAATACTGGAAATCATATCTCTGAGAAGCATTAGAGTGGTAATGAAAGTGAACCCAAGACACTTGTGTATCATTATTTATCAGCAGTGGGCTGAAAAACAAGCATCAATTATGCCATGCTCTTTGCAATATTTGACTAAGTGTATCTGTTCCACCATGGTGAAAAAATTGAATTTTACAGCCGCTTCAAGAGAAGGGGGAAGGGGAGACAGGAGGAAGAACCTCAGCTGCACTTGCCCTAGGGCTTTTAGCTTTTTTGCTTTATGTGAGTAGTGCAATTGAAATCTGCTGTGTTTCATCAAATAAATGGCTCCCAGCAAGCAGTCAGTTTAACTTGATTAACCCAAGATGAATGTCACAAGTCTTTCAGATCACAGAGGATTAGAGCTGGGGAGATGAACAGTGGCAGCCCTGCCTTGTTATGGACGTCAGTGAAAGTGTGATGTGGGTTCTATCAGGGACCACTGTTTCTTGCATATCTTATTGTTTTCTTGTGAAGAACCAAGTCCCACCCAATTTTTTTCTGATTTGTAAAGGAAAATGTTTGCCAGAAGTGCTCTAAACTTTGTTACAGCAGAGAAGGAGATCCTGATCAAATATGAGATACGGCTGGAAATGTTAACAGTGACTTGTCATTGGGTGACTGGTTTGACAGGTTTGGACCTAATGATCAGAAAAATGAAATCTTGAACAGACCAGGTACGGGCCTAGTTTATACAGTGAAAAATTGTAACAGATAGGAGCTGTTTTCATATGAAAGAGATAGGGACATCTGAAATTTTATATATGGTATACTACAGCAGGAAAAATGATGCCTGACTCATTGTGTATGCAAGAGTTAAGACAGTTTCCCCTTAGCATGTCCCTTCAGGAAGAGCTGGTTGTTGGTATGAAGAAGGTTAGAAGAGGAAAGAATGCAGAACAGTGCAGTACAGTGGTTCCTGAGTTAGTTCCAGAATCAGAACCCTTATCACAAACTGGGAGAGAGGAGTGTAAAAGGTAAAATTCTTGAGAGATGGGAATGCAGAACAAAACAATGAAACACTGAACTCAGTCAAGAGAGGATGTGTATTCTTACTCTCCTCTGGTTCTAACAGAAGAATTCCAGTATTAAAAAAGAGGAAACAAAGTGGTGTAAGAAAAGGCTAGCCTTCAAAATCTCATCAGCCTCTGGATTTCCAGCCAAGAAAAAAAATCTTATATATGTTCTGCTGAATTACCACTAATCCTCTAGAAGCACTTTTTAGAAAATTTGCCTTTTACCTTGAGTGTGAAAGTTGTTTTTGCCAAACATATCACATTATCATATCACATTCTGTCCAGTGATCATTGCAGTGTGGCCGTACATTTCCTGTTCTTGAATTTGATTAGATTGGAGTTGTGGAGCACTATCGAGTATCTCACAGATCCTTAAAATTGCTTAGATGTTACATTAAGTGCCCGAATGTTAACAAGTAACACCAGAGTGTGGGCAAGAGAGTTCTGTGGACCTCTGCTGCACTGAAGACACTATTGCTAAGGCGGTTTCATGACAGAGATGGAAAAACAAAATACCAGGAAGTCCCTGACAGAGGCCCAAGAACAGTGTCCTGCACAGAAGCTTAGGCTGCCTCAGCCCACGCAATTCTTGTCTTCTAGGCAGACAAGAGAACTCTGATTTTGGAACCGCTGGGAAGCGGGGGTGAGAATTAATTTATTTTTAATTTGAGTAAAAGATAGATAAAAAATTGTGAAAAAACAAGGCAAGTTTTCTAAAAAGTGGGATCTTCTGTTACAGCCAGGTAGTCAAGAACTGTTGGCTTGTCTCAAACTCCAGTCTTCTGATTTTGTGACAATTTGTTTCTACTTCCTGCATTAGTTAAAAGTAACTATTTCCCCCCCTTAATACAGGTGACTCATTGGCACAGTCCGTACTTTTTCGCCTACTTCCCTGCAGCCTCTTCCTTCCCAGCTCTTCTTGCAGATATGTTGTGTGGTGGAATAGGATGTGTGGGCTTCTCTTGGGTAAGTTTACTACAGTGTGTACTGCTATGTGGTAATGGTGCTTCACCTTGCCAAGATTTTAAACATTTCAGTAACATTCTATAATGAAATTATTGATTAATAGCAGTGAAGTCACAGGACTATTTTTACAGGTAAATTTCCTTAACTAATTGTTTTCACACAGACACCCTGAATAACTCCAGGAATAAAAGGTTATTTCGTCTTACAAGTTTTGCCCTTGAAAAATCACCAGCATTTAGAATTAGTGGTAGCAATGCAAACTCCCTGGTAATTCAATAAGTAGTATAACTACTGTCTGTCTTCCAATGTTGTTATTTCTCATTTCATCTGGATTAATGGAAAATTGTGTTAAAAACCTCACATTCATATGAGGTGGACTTTTCTCAAAAGAGGCTGGTATTGGACATTGGAAAAAAAAAAAAAGCAAGATGTAAATCCTAGCTTTGACATTTGATAATTATGGTTCTATGTAAGGCCTATTTTGAATTTTTTTTTTTAATAAGTATTAGAAACAACATGCAAAAATTAGTCTTCAGGTCCCTAATTTGGCTGGTAACATTAGTTATCTAGTCTCTTCCTCTATAGTGAAAAGACAAAGAATTATTCTTGCTCTGGTAGATTTTGTTTCTCTTCATGGTGTAGTGAGGTTTTCCCCTATGTTCTGTTTTTCAACACAGGCTGCAAGTCCAGCTTGCACAGAGCTAGAGACTGTCATGCTGGATTGGCTAGGGAAGATGATTAATTTGCCTCAAGAGTTTTTGGCTGGGAAGGATGGCCAAGGTGGAGGAGTCATTCAGGTAAGAGGGGACCTGAAAAAAGAATACAAATTCATTTTAAGAAATTTATGATTTTGTAAAATCTTTATTCTAAGACATTAATAAAGGGAATACCTTTTTTTCCCTGCCACATGGGTTCCCTTCTAATTTTCAGAAAGATTGATCCTCTGTGAGAAGGTCCACAGGTGGATAGGATCATTCATGAAAGTAATGGTTTTGATTTGAGAGCAGCTGATTTCTGAAACAGTATTTCTCTATGAAGAAGTACTAGTAGTTCAATTTAAAAGCACAGTTGAGGCTTTAAATTAAAATCTGAATAATTTAATTTGTTGATCAACAAATTGAGCTCATCCCATCAATGTGCGACAATGTCTCCTAGCTGAAATTAGAAAAAAAATCTTTTCAAATAGAACTATATCTGAGGAGTTGAGTAGAGCAGCATGAAAAGTGGTTACAAAGGCTTACATGAAGTCCACTTTACACATGTGCAATTATTTACTTCAGTCAGTTTTCAGAAGAGCCTTCCTGTTTTGGTTTGGTTTTTTTTTTAGGAGAAAAAGTGACAGAGATCAAGCAATGGATAACAACTTAGGAGATAACCTTTGCTACATAGAAATAGCGGAATGTTGCAGAAAGTCTATCACTCTTTGTGAAAGATATTATTTTAAGAAGTTTTCCTTATGTAATAAAAAGAAATATTGGAATATTATAATAAAATGAAGAGCTGCTTAAAATTTGAACCTAAGTAGTACTCTCACTAGATAATACCATTTTCAGACTACACTGCATCTCCAAAATAGAACAAAACCCCAAACTTTGACATTGACTGCTTAATGAAACCTACAATGTCTGAACAGATAACGTGAACAACAATGAATATGTCATCAATGGGCATGCAAACTTGCATGCATAATAAAGCTATATTATTTGTTAACCATAGCTCCACTAGCATGTGGTCATTCTGCAAGTGCAACTCTGGTCACAGCTATTAGTCTATCTAAAATAGATCTCTACTGGGAAAAAGACTAAATTTTAAATAAATATTCTGTGCTGCTTTGATAATCTCTGGAGTCTGGACATTGGAGGCCAGGGCACAGTCCATTTTATCCCAAGACAGGCTTCTAATGTACATCTAAATTAGATGCTAGAACCAGAGGTTCTTTCTTTGATCTCAGCTGCAACTGCCTACAGCATATTCCAGTGAATTCTTCCCAACATCTTCCAAGGCAAGAATGAATTTAACCCAACTGCTGTGATTCTCCTAGGTGGAGCTGCACCTACACTGGTGTATTTACAGTATAGTTCTTCACTGATCTGTTTGCCCTGTTAGTATCTTTATTATTACGATTGCTAGGGAGGGGGTTATGTTCAAGAAATCAAGCTTTCGCCATGCATCTTAGCAGCATCTCTTTTGTACCAGTGAAAGCAAGCAATTATACCTGATTGTTATCAGCAGGAAATATTGCCCTTCCAGGCTGACAGTGCTGGATTGCCCATAATTTTCATCAGAAACCAGTCAGTTTCAAAAAATCCAAAGTGGGCTGTGTTCCTGCTTACAATGCAGTCATTTGGGCTGCAGATCTTCTTGTCTTGCTCCTGAAACAATAATGATACAAATAAGAGGCAAAGTGTGAGGCAAAGACAACATGAGTGTGTGAAAGTGCCAGTCATTCTCTTGGTAAATGCCAAGTAATTATTGTGGTATTGGGTAAAACCGAGCCTGCAAAAATTGGCTCTTAATTACATTTGAAAGTCTATGTCAATATGAAGCACTTTGTTGTTGTGTGCAGAATGACACTTCAAAATGGCAAAAGATGAAAGAAAATTTCAGTTCAGAGCTCGGATGGACATGAACATCAGCTCTTGCTGATATTTCTTCCGCCTCTTGAGCCTGCTTGCCATGGCAACCTTTGTTTGCTTGTGGTAAAAGGAAAGGTATTATCATCCTTCATTTAATGTAGAATACAGCATTCAAGAGGGGAAAAACCAGCTTTTAAAAATAAATGAGAAAGCAACTTTTTTCCTGAAGTTTGTATCCTGCTGTTCACTCTAAATAAATTGCTGGAAAGTGAATTTTAAAGAGTTTTTTTTTGCTCAGCAAAGAAAAAGTATTTTAGGATTGAGAGAAAAATATCTTTGGCTAGGCAAGGAACACTGCTGATTTATCTTTCTTGTCAGTTAGCCAGGTAGTTCAAGAACCAAGGGGGCTTTTTCCTCAAAAATATTTAGTGCAAGACTTCAGTGCCAAGTGTATAGAAGAGTCTTGGAAACCAGGTTCTGCAAACACTGTAAGCTTCAGGATAAAAAAGGTGACTCAGTATAAAAAAGGTGATTTATGGAAAGTGAGGCAAGGTGAAAAAGCCTGTGTCTATTGTGAGACATCCAAAAGCATTTCCAAGTTGCTGGATTCAGGTGCCTTTAGGCTATGGCCCAGCTGTATATCAGAAGGCAAGACCCAGCTGGGCAGCAGGCCCTTTCCTTTTCATCCGTGTTTCCCTATAAGGACATTCACACAAGAGCTGTTGTATACATTGACTATGCCCCAGTCTGGATGAACAGCCAGGATATCTTGTAAAACTCCACAGAAAGCTGAGGCTATTCTTCAGCCTAAGTCATTTGCCCACCCAGCCAGGCTGCCACCAGGATAGTGTGTGCCTAAATTTCCAGGTCTCAAATTAATGCCTTAACTGTTGTAACTTCTTACAGCCATTTTCTTTTACATATCTGTGAATATTTTTTTAATATGCATATTCCTTACATGTCCTGGAAATACACTAACAGTATAAACAGTTATTATATTTCAGATATTTTGATTTCTTAGACAGAAAAAGTAGGATGATTTCTCCATGTGTAAAAGACACCTTTGTCTCATAAAAATAGCTCAGCTAATTTGAGTATAGGAGAAAGTCTGAATTCACTGTGATCATTTTCACATATGAAATCTGTCAGATCAGGCCCACCTTCAGGGAAAAAAAAGGACTTCTCAAGTATTTAAACATTTGTTGTAATTAGTAAGTACACACAGGTCTTCAGCAGAGAGAGGATAGAATTTTGGTACAGGACGAAAAACATCACTCCAAAATTAGTTTGTTGACACTGGGGATATTTCAGAGACATACATATTAATATAATCAGCTGTACTCATTGCACTGTTGTGATTCACATGATGATTGATTAACTTTTAAAGTACCTAAAGTCTTGATCTTGCATAAGACACCCCAATACACTGAAATTTATGAACACGTGTTTACAAACTGTTACTTGTGGTTTAAAAGAGCAGTTTAGACCATGTCTCTTCTGCCTATTCTAGATGAAAACCGTAAAAAGAATTTTTGGAAAGTTGTATTCTGTGAAATTTACTGAAAATTGATACAAAAGATTTCCCTTTTGTTGTCACAGAATATCCAAGGCACATTTTAAACTGCGAGTTTTGTGAGTCAAAGTGCAATTTAGAAATAGTGTGTAACTGTTCTTTTCATCTGTGTGTTTGTGAAAAAGAAAACATACCTAACTAATACTTTGAAATGCAGTTAGCTCTAATGAATCAGCATTTTTTGTTTTTCAGTGTTTTTTTCTCTTTTAGACACAATAATTGGTTTATGCAGGGTAATTCTAATGTCAGAGAAGACATATAATTAGGCCTGTTGCTTGATAGAAGTGAGAGCTGACATTCAGATCCTGATGGAACATAAGTGAGCAGAAATTCAGAGTTAGAACAGAAATCAGCAGTTACTCTGCATTGTTACTGGTTAACACCTGATTGGTGCCTGGTTTGAGAGCCTTTTCACATACATATAAGTCGGTGAGTCCAGCTTTCTAGCACTGACTGCAAGGCTGGTGCCTAAGCTGAACAGGCATAGAGATTAAAGAAAACAGGCAGAGGTATCAAGAAGGAGAGAGAGATTAAGCACAGATTCCTCCCTTGCTGTCAGACATATTTTTAAAAGTAGGAAATTGCACAGTGTCTCATCTGCAGTTTCTCTTAACAACTTCACAGATTCATGCAGAAGAAAACATTGCTTTTCTTCTGGAATGTTTTCATTTTGAACCTTGCCTCAATTTGTCTCATAGGGTAGTGCAAGTGAGGCCACCCTGATTTCACTGCTTGCTGCTAGAACAAAAACCATCAGACGGGTGCAGTCAGAAAAGCCTGAGCTAACAGAAGCAGAGATTATGGGCAGGTTGGTGGCTTATGCTTCTGATCAGGTGAGTACCTCTCATTAACATGGAAACATGGCATCTATATTTAACAATTTCAGCCATCTGAATGGGCATGTGAATTAGGTATAAACTCCTTGGATTGGTCACTATTTGGTTTTGCTTGTTTAAATTTTGCTGTACATCATAAGCATATCCCTCAGGGGTCCATACTGGGACCAGTGTTATTTAATATCTTCATTACAGACATAGATGAAGGGATGGAGTGCACTGTCAAGGAGTTTGCAGATGATATTAAGCTGAGTGGTGTGGTTGATAAACTTGAAGGACGGGATGGCACCCAGAGGCACCTGGACAAGCTCAAGCCCATGGGAATCTCATGAGGTTAGGGCAACCCTTAGTATCAATACAGGCTGGGGGACGAAGGGATTGACAGCAGCCCTGCTGAGAAGGACTTGGGGGTGCTGGTGGATGAGGGGCTGGATATGGGCTCGTGATGTGCACCGGCGTAGAAAGCCAATTGTATCCTGAGCTGTATCAAAAGCAATGTGGCCAGCATGTCAAAGGAGGGGATTCTGCACCTCTGGTCTGGTCAGACGCCATCTGGAGCACTGGAGCACATCCAGCTCTGGGATTCCCAACACCAGGGGTCAAGAAGGATGTTGACCTGTTGGAGCAAGTCCAGAGGAGTGTCACCAAGATGATCAGAGGAATGGAGCGCCTCTCATATGAGGAAAGGCTGAGAGAACTGGGGTTGTTCAGCCTGCAGAAGAGAAGGCTCTGGGGTGACCTAATTGCAACTTACCAGTGCCTGAAGGGATACTACAAGAAAGATGGAAAAAGACCATTTACAAGGGCATGTAGTGACAGGACAAAGGGAAATGGTTTCAACTGAAAGAGAGTAGGTCTAGATTGGATATTAGGAAGAAATTCTTTACTGTGAGCGTGGCAATGCACTGGAACAGGTTGCCCAGAGAAGTTGCCCCACCCCTGGAAGTGTCAAAGCCAGGTTGAATGGAAGCTCTGAGCAGCCTGGTCTAGTGGAAGATGTCCCTGCCCATGGCATGGGGATTGGCACTAAGTGATCTTTGAGGTCCCTGCCAACCCAGGCCCTTCTATGAGTCTGTGATAAGGGGGAATCTCATGTATGCTACCATAATGCAAAGAGTAAATATCCAAACGTCAGTGTTACGTAAGTATCACTTCTTTATAAAAAGAGCTCATTTGAAGTAAATAAAGATAATTAAATAAGGTGTTAATTTTAATTACATTAAGTAATTCTAGAGCATCTTTTGTGGCATCCAAACTTGTATGTCCATCTATGCACACATGTGCATACACATGTGCAAACAAACACATATACATCATCTCCCTATATGCATGCATGGGTGCAGGTGCAGGTACACAGACGAATCTAATGCATGAATATAAAGCACATTGGTCACAGCACTTGAAGAAGACCAAAATGTTTTTTGTTTTCCTTTTTAAAGAAGGAAAATTCTAAGATCTCCATCTGTCAATACAACTAAGAAATCTTATAAGGAACCAGAAAATATAATCCTTGATTTCTGACTGTGAGTGGTATTTAGCAGACTGAGTTATGCTAAATGCTCAGCAGGCCAGGACCATGAGAGGTTTTTACTGTCAATGAGAACAAATTGTACTCTTATGAGTTCTGCTGCTGCTACCTTTCTCACACACTAGTACTCCTAAAGGGCCAAGCAATGTTGTTTCTCTTAATAGCTATAACATTTTCTTACCTACATGTCAGTGAGACAGAAAAAACCCTTCCTTAGTACCTAATGTTTCTTTTTAAATAATATCTGATTGTGCAGAATAAAATGGGCAGGTTTCAGCCTTACTTTGATTTACTACTATGTGTATGTTAAAAAGCACTGTAGAAGTTAAAAGTACACTTGCTCTTTGCTGTTGGCAAGAGTGACTACACTTGCATGGTGAGAAGATTCAAGACAAGAAAATATGAGGAAAGATAACTGCTTTCAAGAGGCACAAAAGATATTTGTCCTTTTTTTTTGCCTGAGACCCTAAGGTCAGTATTGCGCAGACCACCAGTCCCAGAGCTCTGACTGACCCAATGATGCACAAAGGCTTTTACTTGTTTTGATTTTCTGTCCCATGTAAGTGGCTGACCTGAAATGAGGACTGACAGGCCTTCCTGCCTACTGAAGGTCAGAGGATCTTATGTTTACAGAAGGATTTGCCTTAAGATACTGTTGACCTTTCAAAGCAGATTGTTGCAGAGCTCACCGTCCCTTCTGCATTAAGAACAGACCTGTATGACTCACAGGCAATAATCCACAAAAGAAAGTTAAATGTAAGCCATTCTGTGGGAGTGAAAACCATTCACTGATGGAGCCCAACAATGCAAGAACGCATTTGGAAGAGAATATTGCTACACTTTTTAAGTCTTGACGAAGCAATTTAGAGGTTCTGACTGGCTAAAACCCTCATTGTATTATTATAGTTTGCTTATTTGCAATTCTTGTATAAAAAAGCTATAAAACTTATTTTTCTATTGTATACTTGAATGAAGTATGGTATTGCTATGCCACACATTGTTTCCACTTTAAAAGTTATATTTCAAGTTTAAGCTTCCAGATTTTCTCAAGTTGGTACCTAATTAGTTTACCAAAGCATTTTGACAAGAGGCACTTCTGAGATACAAATTAATGATACAGCTGCCTTTAAAACATGTAATTCCAGGGATATGTGAAGTTGAAGGGCAAAAGCTTTATCTTCATCTAGTCTAGTTCAACTGAAGTTTTGGATTATTATTTTTGTGATTATATATTAAATTAAAATAGAACTGATAAGCACTCTTGTAGGTACTGGCAAGAATTAGCAAGGTAAGATGGAGATGTGAATAAGAATAGCCATGATATGAAAATGTGAGGAGTTTTTCTCTTTCAAATTAATGATGATTAATGAAACCGTAGAAGGTGGAAGGTAAAATAGGTTTTTCTGTTGTTTTAGTCATTCTGTAAATGAGAGTATTTTGTGGCTAAATGTATCTTTCGTTGTCAAAAGAGTTATTCTAGTTATTCTATTGTACTTCATAATTTTACAAGAATTTCTTAGTGATATATTTGTTTTTATTTACTGACATGTGCTTTATGCTCTAAAAAATATTATTTCCAGAGAATTCAAATGAAATGGGTTGTAAATAAAATAAAATAACATATTGGGAGTGGTCCTTACTTGCCTAACAAAATGAATGAATGATTGAACCACAGTTTAGTCAGTACATAATCTAAAAAAAAGGTAATGTAAGAAAGTATCTTGGTTTATACCATACCATGATGTGTACTATTTTAGAGGTCAGCAAAGCTGTACACCATAAAAATATGCTAGTGAACAGCTCCATCATTCTCAGGCAAGCTGATTATCTGCACATCTTTTGGCTGATTTAGAGCCAAATCCTCAAGCTCTACATCAATCCTACCATGTTAATTAAAGATCTCACAAAGGTTAGTTGAACTCTTGTCTGAATTGTGTCATGGCAATGGTCTCAAGGATATTTCAGGATTTCTATCAGTTAATTGTGTGTGTAGGTATATATATTTATGTGTGTCCATCTGTCTGTCTACCTATATGAAAGAGAGAGAGGTATGTATCTGTCACTTACCATCAATAGTCCCAGAATCTCAAGTATTGCTCTACTTGAAAGAAATTATTTTTTTTCTTTTTAAATTCAAATGAACTCACATTCCAATAAAAGGTGTCAGTCTTAAAACTTCCCCATTTCCTTGTAGGCTCATTCATCTGTGGAAAGGGCTGCATTAATTGGTGCTGTGAAGATTAAAAGTGTTCCTTCAGATGATACATTTAGTGTTTGTGGTTCAACCCTGAAGAAGGTTCTGGATGAAGACAAAGCTGCTGGTCTTATACCGTTCTTTGTGAGTACTGGATTTTAATTAATCAGTGGATTTTTTGCTTCTGATAAGCTACTTCTGACAAGAGTAGATGATCTAATCCCTAACAGAGGCATTGATAGGCAGCTGAGATTTGTAGTTGCATGTAGTTCTGCAGTGTTATAATCTCCTAACCCTTAAACTCTGAACTGTTTACCCTTATTTTTCAGTTTCTAACTTACTTAAACATAAAACAAGCTTAAAGGAAATAAATTAAATTATGCTCCCTCAAGCTTAAGTATTTTCAAGAAACAAAAGTTTCCCCTCCTCAGTACTTTAGCAAAGAGATGAACCTCCATAATATACCTCAAATAAATATCATCAATATCAGGCATTGTCAGTTGGGTATTTGTGAGTACATAACTAATCTCTAACAGGTGAATGTGGCTGTGGAAACTTCAGGTGTCATCATTTCTTGTTATCTGTCTTGCTATCTTGTTTCTTTTCCATAGATTCCTGCTTTTACAACAGTCTAGCAAAAGCTCTGAATTTTTGACGTAGAATAGTGTTAGATTAGATAAAATTCTAAAGTTCTGTTGTACTATAAGTACCCGATCAAAAGAATATTTTCTTATTTCTCACATCTACTCCTCCTACCAGTTCAGAGCACCATCTTATTATTTCAAGTTAAAATGAATTTATCCCATGAAGCAAGTAACTTGTGTTGCAGTTTTGTACATCACCAAGAAAATTTTTTCTTGTTTCCAAGCATTATGCCTCTGCAAAACGTGATATTGACCATGGGCTGTATAGATATATTAATGGGTATAATATGCTACAAGGAATATGTTTTTACTGGCCTCCACTGGAGAAAAACTGAACAAAAAAAAAAAGCCACCGACAACTAATTTGGAAACTGAGAACTTCAGAAACTGATTTTTTAAGAGATTAAAAAATGTGTCACAACATTTTCAGAAAAGTCATGTCTGACAACTTTTTTCATTTTCATGTGGTAACATTTTGAAAAGGGCTAATGTGAACTTCAATTTTTATTAACTGTTTTTAGAAGAATTAGCAGATTAAGCTTTCTTATACTCATGGATAAGTGCCAAATGGGACAAAGAAGCTTAAATTTCACCAAGCTCTTTTGAAAATATAATCTTTTTACTAATCTTGTTATTGACCTTTAGAGTCTGGTTTTTTTAATGTAGTATAAGGATAACTAGAGTGAAAAGTGGTTTTATATGTGCAGAATGATGCTAATTTTCAGGCTGCCTGGAACTAGCGAGTCCTTGGAATGACCGCAAGCAGATCCTATCATTTGCTTTCCAGTATAATAAGACGATGACTGAGAAACAAAGCATCTCTAGGGCTTCCAAAATGAACTTTTTTCTGTGGGCTGCACCTGCTGAGGGGGAGAACATGCCACAAGCCATGTTTCATTTCTCTATGATCCCAGCTCATAATACCTTACACAGGGTCCTACTTTTATATCTTACTGTTAATTTTAAACAATTACAAGTACAGCACTATATCATGTCTTTATGCACTAACCGCAAAGTTAATGTGTTTTTTCCTCAACTTTTGTCCATTAACAAAAAAAAAAATGCAACTTGCTCTTCATAAATATTCATTCCTTATTAATTTTTCTATGTGTAATGAGGAAATAAACAAATCTGGTTTATGTATCCAGTGACATCTTTACAACGGGTGATTAAATTGTTATTTTTCTTCCTCTGTTTGGTTTGCTGTGCAAAACAGGCTTTCAGAGACAGCAGAGGCTCCATCTGAGTTAATATGGCCTGTACCAGGTCTTCCACTTATTTGTATGCAATAAAACATGTCAGCTTAGATTAAACTAGATCTCATTATCCTTATGGTTGGCTTCTTAACTCAAAAGGTGTGCTAATTCTCTGCCGTGCTGAGCAGCAGTCCATGGACTGTATTAGTGCTCCCTTTTCTGGCTTGAGGATTTCAAAAGTGTTTCCATTTCTTTTGTTCTTGAGTAATTTGGTGCTATTTTATTTTGTTCTGACAACAAAGATATGCACATTACCAAGGAAACACCTTATGCCACTTGATTCCTTGTCTCCCTGTATTCACTGATCCTTCCTTAAGGGGAGTGATTCAACATCAAAGCAACAAGTTTGACGGAAGAAATTCTGCCTGAAGAGACTTGTGACAGCAGAGAGATCATTCCTAATGAAGACGTCTTGTTTGCATCCGAGCTGTTTCAGTCTCCCTTATCAGCAAGAAGTTTTGTAAAGGATTAAAAAGAAAATGCAACTAAATTACAATGCCTTATAGGCATGATTCTCCTCTTATACTTAACGAATAAATGAGGAGTCATTATACAGAACTTGATAGAAATGCTTTCCCTGTAGAGGTGAGTTGAGAATCAGGGCGAGGCTTCCTTGATGTGAAAGAGGTTCTGCCATTACAGCAATATGGTAATTATAGGTTTGCTTTTCACATACATAGGATTTTGCAATCAGCCTTTTTTTTGGGAGGGGCATTGTCTTTAAAAGGTGTCTTTGCATTCCTACCTACCATCAATATCTTTTAGCATTAGTGATGTGTATATCTTTCTGTTCAGTGAAGGTTGTTGCCAATGGGATATGCAGATCTCTACTTTTAATTTTTTTATTTCTAAATTTGGACATGTGTTAATTTGTCCATTTCAAAATACTTTTGCAGAAATTGAAACGGGTATTTTCATATAGTAAAGCAAGCAGACTGTGCAAACAAAGCACTTAACTGTGTCAGGTGTTGAGGCACTAAAGTTGCCACAATTTACCAAGGAGCAATTTTCCAGTGCGGATGATACGCAGCCCTTCATCTGGCCACCATTAAAGGGAGATATTTAAAGCATATGCTGAAGTCATGTCCATTTCATTAATTATAAACACACACTGGTAGCTAAGCACATGATAAATGCCTTTCTCAGCTGGGCCCTATGGTCCCAGCTTGAGATAGGCTTCTGTGTTTGCTGAATGTTGACTGGGATGCTCAAATTTGGAGACCCCTAAGTTAAGCACTTCCGAATTCAGATGTAGTGTCCATTGCATTCAAGCCCAGTTCACTTGAATGTGTGTAAGTGGCCTGTGAGCTTTATGCTGTCTTTCATAAACCAACACTGATAGATTGCAGCTGGCAAATATATAATAAAATACTCTTCAACAGCCTTATCCAGCAAAAAGTTGCTATGACATGGTTGCCTTGCTACCCAGCATGAAATCTTTCTGATTCTAGCTGAAATGACTCTTCTGAATGATGATCTGCAGGATATTAAGAAACAGGCTGTTTATACCCAGACTCACTTGGGAAACAATAAATCAGAATCAGACTGACAGAGGAGCCATCTTTTCAGTAGAAGTCAACACTTAGATCCTGACCACAGATTTCCATTTGGAAGAAGCATTCTGGAGACATGTACAGATGCCTAGGGTGATGTTTCTTAACCCACAGTTTATGACTGATCGCTGTTTTGTAAAATACTGAATGGTGGTTTAGAGAACTGTTGCAGTTTTCTTCAGACCACAGGCATTCTCATAAGTGCAAGCTGGCAAAGAACTGAATAGGAGAAAATAAAAACAATAAGGGAACACTGAAAATCCTGCCTCATTTTAGTTAGTCGCAAATGAAAAGCTTTGTCGTGAAACCATGCAAAATGTGTCCGTGTCTTTTGCAAAAGCTATAGGAGGTCTTCCAGTTGAAAAGAATGAGTAATTGCTCTCAGGCATCATAAATGTTCATGCATGTTTCCTGATATAGCTCTTCATTTCAGGAAACTAATACATGAGATGACTGATGCGAACTTTTTAGCTGTTTTGTATTCACAGCCAGGGCTGAGTCAAATTTGAAGTGCACAACCTGAAAAGGATAAGGCCTGTAGGCTATACTGAGCCATCAGTCCCATTTCTGTGATGCAGCCTGTCCCCTGCCCTTTGCACAAATGTGATTTTTCTGGTGTTACACAGGCTACAAATTGAGTTAGATTCATTCTGTAGTACTGAGGCAGGGTAATGAGAGTCCTGACAAGAGCAGGTGCTGTCACTTTAAAGTGGTTTCTGAGAATTAAGGCAAGTAGCTTTGAGGCTTAGGTACCTGCAGAGAGGAAAACAAAATTATTTTAGAAACTGAGGTATACTTTACAGAATAAGCCATTATTTAAACAACTAAGAATATTTTTGAACTCATATAATCTCTCATTGAAAAAACCTACTCTTTATCCTGATTAGAAGGAGAGTACCTTAACTGCAGTACAACACTTGCAGAGAAGTCGTAAATGTATCTCAAAGCATTTTAATTTTTTTGTTCTTCTCATGTGACTCAGGAATATAGGAAGACCCAGTACAGATAAAGATTAGATTATTTTGAGGAAAAAATATGTTAGCACACAATTTTACCAACTATATGTAGAATGTGCTTCTCATTTTCAGAACTGTATTTGTTTCAGACTCAGGTTCTTAATAGCTTGATAAAGAAAAAATACTGTATTGTCCCTTTATTACTTTAATAATTACTGTTTGCAAGTTTTGCTATGACAGTATGTTTGTTTCTGGAAAGGTCTAGTGGGTGGACAAGTACCATAGAGGTTTTTCCTTTTTTTCCTTATTGTTCTCATCATGAATTCACTGAGGGACACGTGCACACGTACACACAGAAAAATGTGGCTAGTTGCTGATACATAGGGGAAAACCGTAAAAGCAAAAGGTAGTGCACTGATAGTGTACTTGGCAGAAAAAGTAACTAGAAATAATAAAACTAAAAAAAAAGAAAAATTCTGGATTTGGCATTTTCATAGTCATCTCCTGGCTGTACTGTAGTCTGTGTGTGACCTTGGATAAATTATCTAGTGCTTTTGTACTTCAGTACTCTGACTAAAACCCAGCATACTTTATCTGTCTATTTAAGCTGTAAAGTGTCTTTTGTTATTTAAAAATCCAGTACAAGACAAAAAATAGATCCAGCCTTTGTAAGTGTTTTCAGAAATGGGACGGGGTGTTTAAAACGTAAATGTATCAATGAAAAATAAAATAATGTCAGTTTAAATGTATTTGGGATTTGGGATTTTTTTGTTAAAATTCTACCTGCATATTCCCAGCAAATTAGGATAGCTCATTTTCACCTAGTTATATTCTCTTTCTATTGTGAAACTTGAGCATTTGTTACCTCTGCTTTTGATCCACTGGTCACACAGAAGAGGACATTAAATGAGACATTAAAAGAATGAAGGGAGTATAGTTTCAGTATTTTAGGATGAATTTCTGAGAAGTTTACCTGGGAAAAAATCTTGCCAGTCTAAGAGTAAACATATGCTACTAGGGAACAGCTTCCAGGCTGAGCATTGAGCATAAATCAGTTACAAATCTCTGTTGCAGAGCTCTAATCAAGGCAGCAGCATTTGATGACCTATTCTGCCAATGAGAATTCCAGCACCTCAGAGATGGTCAAGTTCAGAACTTGCTTATATACCATGAACTGCAAATTATTTTGATGGCAATTGCATTTGTGAGGTTACTATTTGGCCACATGATAAGCATAGGGAACACATAGAAATTATATAAATTATAGAAATAGCATAATACTGTGAATATATTGCAGTAATTATCAATCAATTTTATATTAACATTTGATTTTATGCATCTGTTTCAATGGACTCTTATGGGAGCTTTGGAAAAAAAACCACCCACATTCTCAAAAGTTCCACTAAGGATTGGCAATGACTAACATCAGTTTATTTTGCCCTAAACCACAATAGCCCTATATCATTTATCATTTACCATTTACTCTTTTTGTTTATTATTGGCTTTGCAGACAGTTTTTTAAATTTGGTAATTTTCTGTGCTGTAACACTTTTTTTTTTTTGGTTCTGCAGTTCTGTGCAACTCTTGGAACCACACCTTGCTGCTCCTTTGACAAACTGTTAGAACTGGGTCCTATTTGTAAGTCTTCGCTGCTTCTTTCTAAAATTGCAGATATCAGTTTAAGCCACGCTGAGTCATTTCCAGGGCGTTGTGCAGTGCCAGTGTTCCAATTCAATAAAGTTACTCAGAGATGAGACCTTCAATTACAGTTTTATTTCTAACATTAGTCAAGCAGCAAATGTGCATCCTCAAACTCTTAAAAAGTAGAGAGGACATTGCCTCAAGGGTTTTTTTCGGGGCGGGGGGGTCATATTTTGGAACACTGTCAGTTAAAAATTACTGTAACTGCTTCAGATTGTAACATTTCTCTTCAAGCCCTTCTACCTGCAAGTACCTCTACAGCAACGGTGCATATCAGGGGAAAGTTGAACTCTCATTCTCCTCCACACCAACTGTTTTGTTTCTACATGGTTCTAACAACAATGAAAAGTAGAGAACTATGCACCAAAAATCCACATTCTTAATCCTTACTTTCCCCTTCCCGATTTTTTTCATCTTTCAAGAAAATAGAACAAGTGCCAGGGTGTTTAATGCAGTGATTGAGTCAGGAACTCTTTGTAAGTATTTCTGTGTGATGGTTTGTTGTGTCAAGCTTTGATCTGCAGCAGGGTTTGGTCGAAAGCACACTCTTGCTGGCTGATGAAAATGCAAAGTGCACCATATCTATTCAAGTATACATTTAGAATAGGAAATTTACAGCTATAAGCCATTTGAAACAGCTTCACAGAAACTGCATTTGATGTTCTGGTAATTTATTCAGTGGGGTTTGAAACTTTGGGCCTTGTGTGGCGTTCACTTGCTCTGTGAGGTTTCTTGCTCTTCAGCACAAGCCCCAGAGACTCAGTTTCTCCCAGTCCTCCTTTCTAAACAGGTTTCTAGTAGTCTGCTTAGCAGCTACAGGTTATTTTGCTGTTTGGCTTATTCCTATAGACCTGACCTAATAAAACAGCAACACCAATACTTTTAGGTATAGCAGCTAATCATGTGTGTTTCACCTCAATGATTCCCTGTTTGTGCAGCAATGATGAGAAGTATTTCACACCACTGAAATCAGAAGTCTTGTGCTAGCTTTTCTCCCTAATTTTCCTCTTAGTATATGTGAACATATTTAAAAATAATTAATCAGTAGAACTTTTGATATATTTTCAAATAAACCTCAGTTGTGGATTTTTTGAATAATATTGTGTTAGCTTGAACTTGGTGTCCAATTGCAGATCTCAATGGATATACCTCTGTATGTGGAAATAGCAATCAGAATTGTCTAGTGACCAGTGTAAAAATGCTATGTGGGCTTTAGCCATCAACTCATAGACCAGAATTGTTACCAAATGCATTAATACTGTGATCTGTAATAGAATGTGAATACTAAATTACAGGGAATACATGAGCTGCTTATATGACAAAATATTTCTGCAGAAACCATTCAGTGACTAATCAAAACTAGCACTTTCTTAACACTTCAATGCTTGCTTTTGCAGAAGTATCTCCATCTTGTAACAAATAGTTTGCTGCTGGTAGTTCAAAAGCATGTGCATGCCTATATATCAATATGCAAAAAGTACTGTATAGAGACATGTTTGTGATTCATGAGTTAGAAGTGGGGAGCACAGCTAATATTCTAGCTCTTACTGCCTAAGTAGTTTTATTACCTTAGAAATTATAGTTAAAATCTCTAGATACATCTTTTTTTTAAAATGTATTTTATAATGGTTCTTAAATCAAAATCGTATAGTATTTTATGTTGCTTAATATTAGTAAGATAAGACATGATGATCCTTGTGATCCCTTCCAACTCAGTATATTCTATGGTTCTATGACTTTGTTCCACTAGAAGTGGGAAGGAAAAATAATATATTATGTATACATCTTTATGTGGAAGTGAAAACCCAGATGGTAGAAACATTTATTCTCTTAATTTAATTTTAAATTGGAAAAATAATAACATCAAAGAAAAATCTCTCAGGCACTTGGTTTCATGCAAATTAATAGGGCTTTTTAATCTGCTGTTTAATTTATTTCCCCTTCAATTATTTTTTTAGGTAATAAGGAAAATATCTGGATGCATATTGATGCAGCCTATGCTGGGAGTGCATTCATCTGCCCTGAATTCAGGCATCTTTTAAATGGAGTGGAGGTGAATGGTGTTTTTTCTCTAAAAGCCTGCTAAAACCTTGCTCTTTGTGTGTTGTTTATGCATCCAAGAAAAATGAATCTTCCAGAATCTCTGAGTAAGCTGCACCTCAAATCCCTGTACATTCTATTACATTACTTAAGTTTATATAATTTTTACTGTTTTATACTGGGAGTATGCAAGTTACCCCACTATGCAGAAGTTTCTCATTCAGAATAACAAGTAGTAGTGAATCAACAAAGTGTCTTACAAAATAGAAAAGTGGAACTTTTTCCCAAATATCCCAAATGACACATTTATAGAAGCCTTACATATACACACAAAATTATTCTTACAAAAATGTTATGTCTCATTATGTCATTATGTTTGATTTTTTTCTTACATCCTGAAAGTCGTATAGGATAGAGCCAGTAGCTCTATCTCGAACAGACAGGGTTTAATAACCAAGAGAGCTAAATGAAATATTCCCCCAACAGCACTCCTGTTCCTTTTTCCTCCCCTTGCTGAGCTACTTGGCATTCAGTTGCTTAGATAAGAATACTTCAATTTCCTGCTGCTCCCCTCAGACAGTCAGATAAGTCCTTGTCTTCCACGTCAGTGGAGAAAATATTACTGTTTGGTAAAGCCAGAAGTTTAAACACAGCACTGATAGGTAGTGACTAATGAAGAAGAGGAGGGAAAACCCCCTCACAAATAAAGCATTTCTTTCTGTCTCTTTTTTTATCAGCAAATGAAGCTTGTTGTAATTTCCTGTGTGGGAATATTTTTTAAATTATTGTTATTGGTTCCTGTAGGAAATGAAACAGCATCCCTTGTCTGGGCAGCATTTGTCATAGGAGTAAATATTTAACCACCATGAATGAGTTTTCTACCATACCTAGTACAGGGTGATAGCTAGATAGATATATAGATAGATAGACAGATCATCTTCTCTTATTAGAGTAATTGTTAATTGTTTACAGATGACAGGGAAGGTTATGAGAAGCAAATGAGAACATAAAAGTGCTGTAAGGTGCTGCCAGGCCCTCATCTCTCTTTTTTAAGGCTGATGACTTCTGCCTTTGTTAAAACAGAAAACATGGATGAAGCCTTTCCCACATGATGTTCATCTTACCTACCTGGGATTTTTCTGATGCCACACCTAAACATATCTCAAGTAAACTGGGCCTGGCACATTATGTGTATAAACATGTATTGCCAGTCCTTATTCTTTGGTAGTATTTCTTTTGACTTAGATGAAAAACTAATTTCTACTGAAAGAAAATACCCTATCAGTAAAAAAACCAAAACCAACAATCCCCAAACATTTCCTAGTCAGTTGTAATTTTATGAATAAATGTGATGTGCAGATGCTGAATTAACTAAATCATTTGTCTCTGTATATTTGAATTTTGTGTGTGTATGTTTAATGCTCTTGGAAACAGAAAGCTTAGTGAATTTTTATTGGAAAACGTGATATGAACCACAGTGAATGTTTCTGAGTATACAGATTTATTTATTTATTTACAATGAGATATGTACTTTTCCTTAACATACATATCTAAAAAGTATAATTGTTAACAAATACTCAAAATGTTGATAATGCTAATAGCCTAACTGCACACCTAAGATGAACTGCATTCCCAAAATGAATGAAGATTTAACTAAAACAGTTACTAACTAAGGTGACACCAGCATGAACATTATAAAGACCCAATTCAAGAATTCATTTGTAGTTAAGGGGTACAGAGACAATATTACACTGCTGTATCATTAGCACATGGATACTTTTCTCTTTCATAATTCGGTTTTTATTTATCCATTCTCAGTTTGCAGATTCATTTAACTTTAATCCTCACAAATGGCTCCTAGTGAATTTTGACTGCTCTGCTATGTGGTAAGTATTACAGTTAAAGAAAACATTGCAAGGGGAAAAAATCACATTATATTAGTCTGCCCTTCTACCAGTAAACATTTTTTTACGTTTCTCTATTGAAATGAGGAGAACTGGATAGCTTCAAGTCTTGTAAATTATTCACAAAATTCCCTTTTATTTAATCCAAGTTTCAAAAATGTGAAATTTAGAAATAGGCATTATGTTCCAGAAAGAGAGAGAGAAGTCCTAAAAAGTCTGCAGATTCATACTTGGTCCATTTTGGGACTGTTTAAAAACATAAATGAAAAACTTAATTTAGGGATATCAGTGCAACAAACAATATGCTAAACAGAGCTTTTTATTTTTCTTTTCCATAAAATTTCTTTTTGTTTAAGCTTTTGTCTTTTAAAAGCCTTTCTAAAAATGTTTGAGATTTGGCTGATGAAAAGCAGCTGATTTCAAAAAGGACTGTTTATATAATTTTGTACTGACTTTCAATTTCCCCAAATGACAGCAGAGACAACATTTTGATATAAAAAGATGCCAAAATAGAAACCCATAGACATACTTTCAAACAAACCAAAGTACCATACCAGTAATAATAGCATGGTTTTGTTAAAACTATTCCATAATAAATGATCCTATTGTGTCCCAAACTAGATGTTTACCAGCATCACAATTAAACAGCTATTCAGTAAATGCAGACTATTTATCAAAATTAAGTGAAAACATTCATTTCATTTATAATGGAACAAAATTTGCGAAAATGAGAAAAAGGAAGGAAAAACTGAATGTTAAAAAGAAGACTCCAAAACAGCATGCAGAGATAGGTCACGTTATTTAAAAGAAGAATAAATGTGAGACAGTAATCACTCAGTTGCTTTTGGTTAACCTCTGTCTCTTTTAATATCCCCAGCAAAGCTGACTTTTCAGGTGACATTTTTTACATAAATATTTTAGTTGATATAGGTATTGCAAATATTCCAAGCCATTATGATCTTTTTTTTCTTTTCCTTAGGGTAAATGGCTTACATTTTGACCCTAATTCGTTAGTAGTGGCAGTGATTAACCCATCGCTCCAGTTTATAATTACCTCATAACATGCTGTGTCTCTGTGTATTTGGAAATAGGAAAACAATGAAACAAACTCCTTTGCTAGTTTCTCCTTTCTTTTTCCCTTTACTCAAAGATATGTTAAAAAAAATAGCCACCTGCAAGTAAGACAGTACACTATAATTCTCTTTAGTGTTTGTAGAACAATTAGGGTACAGAGTCTAGTCCCTAAATTTTAATTTCTCATTAATTCTGCTTTCCCTGAAGACCCCATGGAACTATGTTAAAAGTGTTTTACCTGGCTTTCCAGGAAAACAAGGTATATCCAATCCCACTGTGACTTCCATCTCAGGTGATTTAACTTCTTTGTAGCAAAGCTTAGAATGTTTGTTTTCGTAGATAGGAAGATTCCATTACAAGGAATCTCAAGGGGCTTTACAATGCCTCCTTACTCAAAGTCTCACTATTACAGCCAAACAGGCTGCATTTCAGCAAGGCATTTATGTATAGATGTTATTCACTTAATAAAGAATGAAATGTACACATAAACTCTTTGACTTGAAGCCAAAACCACTGTCCAGCTAACTCTAGGACACATGTTCAACATTTACCTCTCTTAACAACTATTACACTGCCTAAAAGGGTGAAATTTGATAAGAAAGGATGAAGAAACATGGTGTGAAAAAGTAATTGTGAAGGATACATAGTCCTCTTAGGATCCATGGGAAGTATTAAGCATGATATTGTAGTAACATGGAAAGAGTTCAGTAAACACTGAACATCATTTCCGGATTAAAGTAATATGAGTTCCTTTGATGGGCAGGCTTCTAAATAACCCAGGCTTCTCAGCACTTTCCCCACTAAACACTTGCATTTCTTTTTGCTGCTGATTAAGATAATCTAGCCATTAGATCTGTAATGTAATTATTTAACTACTCAGTGCAATATGTGGTACTGATATAATTTTGGATTTGGAGGCAATTTCATTATAAACCTTTTGTAAAATATTCTCAGTCTTCTTGATGTACAGAAAAGAGCAGTCAGTTTCCTAGAAAAAGAAATTTAATATGGCCATTCCAAGAAGTGCGTATTTTCTATACTCAAGAGTCCTTTGGAGACTTTGCCTTGAAACTACCAGTCAGTTTTGCCTCACTTGTTCACTTGCTACTCTGGAATATTATAAAATGGGAAGAAGTGTCTTCATTCAGAGAGAGTGAAAATAATAATCTTTCAAAGTCTTGGTATTCTTGGTTTTTTATTACTCTTTTCAGGGCTTAAGTGTTAACTTTTGGTTGGGAAGGGTGTTTTAGTATTTGGAAGGAAGGTGCTTACAGAAGATGCTTATCTGTAGATCACAGAGCACAGAATGGCTAAGGTTGGAAGGGAACTTAAAGATCATCTAAGTCCAACCAAGTGTATGGTTTCAAAGCCATGTATCTCTTCTGTTTCAGCCCCTCTAATACTGCTTAGCCTATTAACTCTCTCTTGTAATTCAGCCACCTGCTGCAACAGGTAATCAACCTGGGCACCCTCTGTGCAGGTACCAGCCTTTTCTCCAGTAGAAGTATCTGGGCATCCATTGCAAACTGCCACCTGTACTGATGTCTCCTTCCTTACCACTTCAGTCTGGGCTTGAGCAGCAGTCTTCTCAGGGGCTGTCTGAGTAGACACACTGGGTTTGGCTCCGAGGTTAGTGCCCACCATTATGGCAGAGACCTACAGCACTCAGTCCTCTGGTGTGGACCTCCTGAGCACTCAGCACTTACCTGAGGTGTGGACCTACTTGCAGGTTGCAGCACCCTTCCTGCATTCCCTGCTTACATGAACTGCCACTCAAACTGCAATGTCACATCCTTCTGACGTGATCCGTCATTCGGCCAGGGGTATTTGCAAAGTAAGTTAAGAACACCACTCCTGTCACAGAATCACAGAATATGCCAAGTTGGAAGGGATCCACAAGGATCATTGAGTCCAACCCTTAGCCCTGCACAGGACCATCCCAAGAGTCACACCATGTGACTTAGAGTAACATCCAAATTCTTCCTGACCTCTTTGAGTTTTAGTGTTGGGAGCACTTCCCTGGGGAGCCTGTTCCAGGACTCAACCTCCGTCTGCGGAAAGAACCTTTTTCTAATATCCAACCTAAAGCTCCCCTGACACACTTTGGGCCTTTCCTTCAGGTGCTGTCACTGGTCAGCAGAGAGAAGAGATCAGTGTCTGCCCTTCCTCTTCCCCTCAAGAGGAAGTTGTGGACTGCAATGAGGTCTCCTGTCAATCTCCTCTTCTCTGGGCTGAACAGACCAAATGCCCTCAGCTGCTCCTCATACGGCTTCCCCTCAAGGCCCTTCACCATCCTTGTTTCCCTTCTTTGCATATTCTTTAATAGCTTAAAATCTTTCTTATATTGTGGTGCCCAAAACTGCACACAATATTCAAGGTGAGGCTGCCCCAGTACAGAGCACAGTGGGACAATCCTCTCCCTCAATCAGCTGGAGATGCTTTGCCTGATGCCCCCCAAGGCACGCAGTTGGCCCTCCTGGCTGCCAGGGCACTGCTGACTCACATTCAACTTGCTTTCGACCAGGATCCTCAGCTCTCTTTCCATGACACAGCTTTCCAGCACCTCATTCCCCAGTCTGTACGAACATCCAGGGTTACCCCATCCCAGGTGCAGAATCCAGCACTTTTCCTTCTTTCACTTCATATGATTGGTGATTGCCCCACTCTCTAATTTGTTGAGGTCTCTCTGCAGGGCCTCCCTGCTTTCTAGGGAGTCAACAGCTCCTCCCAGTTTTGTTATCATCTGCAGACTTGCTTGGTATCCCTTCCAGTCCTGTGTCCAAGTCATTTATGAAGATGTTGAAGAGCACAGGGCCCAAGATGGAGCCCTGTGGAACCCCACTAGTGACAGGTCCCCAGACTGATGTCACCCAATTCACTATTACCCTCTGTGCTTGACCTGTGAGCCAATTGCTCACTTACCTCATGATGTGTTTATGCAGCTCTTTTTCCTGTCTGAGATAGGTGCATCCTCTCAGGTGTCAGTGGACCAGGTGTTGAGTAGATCATCCCATTTGTGGTCAAAAACTACAGAATTTGTCCAGTTCACCAACCCCAGAGCCACTCATTGACCTGATGGATCTGCCTATTCCTATCAATATTATTTCTTGTTACTGGAAGAATTGAGGAAACTGTTCACTACCTGTGCTCCTGATCCCTCTACAATTGTCCCAGGACCCTGAAATCCCTTTTGATTGCCCTTGGACTTCTCTTTGTTATTTCATTGCTGCCAGTTTGAACAACCAATGGCACATATTAATCAGAGGGCCTTACTAGACTGGAGTTCACCAGTAATGTCCCTTGTCCAGACCACACAAGCGCTTACTGCAAACTTCAAATACATAGGGTGAAATCTAGGCATGGTGTATAGAGGTGCAACTCAAGTGGTTTGTACACATTGATGTCCAGGCTTTGGATTTATTTTAGTAATCCTTTTAGATAGTTTTTCATGGTTGCCAGATTAAGACCTGTGAAATCTCCTTTTAAAAAAGCAGTGACATCACCAAGGAAGTACAAGATGGTAGCATTTTTATGTCTTCTAAACTAGATGTTCCTGCAGAGTAGTTATCTATTCCATTGTTAAACAGAGGAGAAATTAAGCTGTCACAAAACAAATAAGTACATTGCTTGTAATTTGAATTAGTTGCATACAGAATGAGCTAATGAAACACGAATATATCAAAGTAATCAAGCATATCAAATAAACTACAGTAGAACAACTTAAGGTTTGTTAAAAATATTTACCCTAATTAAACCTGCTTTCAGTTAATAGTTTCTTCCTTCTCTCCACAGGACATTTCCAGCACACAAATAAGTTATTAATTGTTTTTATTGAGAGCATTCTGAAAGTTTGTTGCTATTTTCATGTGCATAAGCTTACTTATCTTCAGCTACATACTTTCCATACCTGAAGGAAAGCACTTAGCTGTTAACCTTGGTACTTCCCTGGCCATTAGTCATAGAGAGGCTTTTTGTTTGTTTGTATAAGATGTTTTATGACCATGTGAATGAGAGCTGGGAGTATGTACCGTCTTTATAAATACACAGTATAAATAAATATATATATAAATGTGCATTTATAAATGCACAGTAAAATATTGGAAATTAAATTTTTCCTTAGAAATTTACAATTTCACATTGAAACCACAGGAAAATAAAAGGTTTGGACTTTGGTCATTTAGAGCATTCCCGCGTTGATACAACTTTTGCTTACTTTGTAATATATTTATAGGCCTAATATAATGATGTAGCAGTCTTTGCCTTTTTTGATTTATGGTTTCTTCTTCTTCTGCCTCTATAAACCCCAACATTTGTGGAGGTGAGTCAGTCTTACACAGCGTGAAGCACGAACGAGAAAAAATCTTGTTGTTAACCATTGGCAAAACATAGCTTATTCTCTCTAAAAGGGACACACTGGCTTTTGAACCTCAGTCCAGTCACACCACCCCTAGCTGGCAATAGTAAGGTATGCTTCTCAGTGTTACATTGTGCTGTAGCATGTCTGTCAGTAATTGTGTATTGGATCCAGCTAAGGGCATGGTGGTGCAAGAGGGAAGCCTGAGTCTGGACCGGGTGGCTTGTCCCTACCAGTGGCTGCAGCATGGAGAGACAGGGGCCAGCATCCACAAAGCCTCCCCGCGGCTGTGCACGGTGTTTAGGAAGCAACAGCTCTTCCCACGCAGCTTTGTACTGCAGTAATTTCAAGACAACTTCTGTTGACTGCAAACATTAACATTGCTTCAGCTAGTCTCACATTCTGGTGTGAGTGTCTATCACCATAAAAAGATCCTCTATGTCTGTTTCTTGTCTGTTTTTAAATATGCAGTCGTGCAGTCATGCTGCCCGTTCCTGCTGAGCCTTACACTTAACTACTTGTAAGTACAGTACTGATATGGCTGTGAAAAAGCACTGAAAATGGCACAGGCTGTGCTCAGGAAATATGCCAGTTTAAACACATTCAATTTGACTTCACTTCTTGTGGAAATAAAATCCCTTAAATTTCTATTCCTAAATTTCTCAATTTGATTTTTTTCTTTTTTTTTCTTTTTTTTATACAGGGTGAAAAAAAGATCAGATTTAATAGGTGCCTTTAAATTAGAACCTCTTTACCTGCAGCATCACCATCAGGAGTCTGGTAATTTTACAGCTAAATGAGATTATTGTTATTTTGTTCCCACATTGATATTTAATGGAAAAAAAAGGACTTAAGGTGAAAACTGAAATTCTTAAAACTACCTAAGTTGTTTAGGAGCCTATTTCCATTTTCTGAGTGCCTGAGGGAGTTAAGCTTATTAAAGTGCAAGTATTTGTTTAATGAGATTTTAGTTAGTTAAAAGTAATAGAAGGAAGGTAATTTTATAAAGCATTATATTACTATTTTTGTGCTGGGATTTCCCCAGTTCCAGACTTACCATTGATTCTTTATAGGAGTGTTGAGAAAATTCTTTATGGTCTTTTGGCTGTCAGATAAACATATTACTGGGTGCTGAGTTTCAAGCTCCTTAACCTGCCTTCCCCAACATATCTTTCTCCAGAATGGTTTCAGGATCTAATTTGGTTTTAAAGTGTGTGACTTTTTTCTTAGCTATTTGTGTAATCCCTGATTCAAATTTTTCAAAAACCCACGTAAGGAGCAAAAATTCCCAGAAGCCACAAAGAAGATGCTGTCTCTGCTATATTTTTGAGCCTTCTGTGACATCATCCTGTAGCTCTCATGTTCTTACACTGGCTGTAGAGGAAAGCAGTAAGAGCAGACTATCTGTCTTGTACAAAATGCTCATGAAAGCTCTTCACAAAATGCTCACAAAGAACTTACAAATCTTAGGCTCTGTACAAAGCTCCTTAATGGATTAGTGCTGCTCCTGCACATACGTAGAAACTGCAGAATGATATTTGCCATCTTGAAGCCCATTTTTACACATTTGGTTATTAACTGAATAATTGTGAAGAAGGTCACAGCAGTGCAGTGTCAACATGTGGTGGAAGTTCTCTCATAACTTTCTCAAGAGGGTGAATCATACGTGGATGCTCTTACCATATACTCAATCTCATATTTTTCCTGGAATTGTTGGTCCCAACCTGCATTCAGAAGTGTATCCTGAGTACTTTATCTCCTCTCTGTTATGGCTATGAACTCATTGACATTTAAATTAATACCATCCAGAATTCCACCATTCACTAAAAAACCCTAGGAGAAAATGGATTCCTGTGCCTTAATCCTGAACTGGCATAAATCTTGCATTTTATTTCTTTTGTCCATTTCTAAGCAATGCAAATACAGTGCAGTAAACAGGAACATGCAGTAATTCTGCATGTTCACCCAGCTGAGGTTCACCCTCTAAAAGCTAAAATTGTTAAGAAAATAATATGTACCCTTTTTTTGCCTTTTTAAATGAAAAATACAAGTTACAGCAAATACATTTAAGGCACAAGTTTTTACATACGTTAAAAATATTTACATACTTTAAAAATATTTCTTTTCAGGAGAAAAAAAATCCAGCCTTAACTAAAGTGAAAATACATTCTTGTGACAACTGACAATGATGATACGAGAGCCTCAGACCTTCTCCAGGTTAAATAACCACAAGAAAATCAAGCCTTTCTTAAAAGTAGGGTGCCATTAGTAAGGATATCTAGTTGACCTGAAAACTTTATCACTTCAGTTATATAAAAAGTTGTTCAGCCTTCATCTTGCCTTCAGAAGCAGTGAGAGCATGTTCTATGATCTGACATAATGATTTCAAAGAGATCAGCTGATTAATAGCAGCCTAGTAATGCTAATTTTTTTCTATTCTCTATTCTCATTTAGTATCAATTTTTGCAAGGAGTTGGACAACACTTTTCAAATGCAAATGTCTCTAGTTAAACTTCCAACCCACACTTACGCCTTCAATAAATGTAGTCAAATTTGCTACACATTTACTACACAAAGGTGCTACAGTCCCTATTGATCCCTGTGTGATTATGAGATGTCAGCACTCCTGGAAGTATGACTTGTCTAATGGAGGGTCTTATTTTCTGAGTATGTCTCAGATCTGAGAATTCCCATCATGGTTTACAAAGCAAATGAAGTAGTATTTTTGAATTCACTCATCTCTCACTCAGGAATTTAAATGAGTGGAAAAATATCTCTATCTGTGAGCAATTATTCTTAATAACCATATGGCAATTATGTGTGTCCCCAAGGGGAAAGTCTTTATTTTGTCATTAATTATAATTTTATGTGATTTGCATCATCACACCGGGAAGATTATACTAGCTTGCCTGACAGCCCAGGATATAGGTCAAATCCTAATGGCAGTGTTAGAAGAATGCAGCTTTATACTTCATTGTGAACACTATGTATGCTCCCACAATGCAATTCCTCCTGGTTAAATACAGATGTAAGACTAAGGCTCGTAATCAAGGAATCAAGGACTAAGCATTGATTACATTCTGCTTCACAGCTTGTGAAAGGCGTTGTTGTGTATCATTAGACATAGCCCCTTGCAGGAGCGTAGGATTATTTATCTGTCACCAGTTGCTTTCCTCTCTTTGCTACCAGTCTTGCAGCTTTCAAACAGAAATGGCTGCTACAATGCAGAAGAATATGAATATTATCAGTTTACCTCGTTAAGGTGAAAAAAAAAAAAAAAAAAGTTGAGACAACCACATTCATTTCCTCAGGTCCAGGAACAGGTTAATGATTGTTGGTTGGTGTGTGTGTGTTTTTACCACCTGCTAACCAACACAGTAACAGGTTCAAGAACCCATTGACTATCTGTTACAGGGAAAGAAGGACCATGTTTTTTCCTATGTTTTGGCTGCATAGATGAGAGAACATCAGCAAGAGAGCTTGTAAGACAGGAAATAGTCCTTTTTTGCTGGTTTTTTATTATCTCCTAGGAAACATAAAGCCTGAAAATTATGTAAATGACAGACTGGTCAAATTCAGAAGCTACAGTTCTATATAGTACCTTGCAGTTCACAATTCCATGAGCACTTAGCATTTTCCCTAAGAATTCAAGTACGTACTTGCCCATGAAGCTTATATGACATGGCAGAGTAATAAAGCAGAATAAGGAAGCTAAGCAGATGTTTCCTAAAGAAATGCTTTAAATTTTACATCTCTTAAATTTCTGTCACTGACTTACAGCAAGTAACTATGTTACGATTCCCTTTACTATGAAATCAGTTTAATTACCTTATTACAAGAAAAAGTAGATGCGTCTTGACACTGTGTGTTTATATAAAGGATAATTAATAATGCCCTCTATTTGTCTCTCTGGACTGCTTTGTGGCTTGGTCAGTCTGTGTTTATAATGAGCTTTCACTACAACAAATGAAAAGCCACAAAAAGTACAGAGTAGTATTGTCCAAGCAGGAAGAGGTCAAATTCTGAGTCAATGTTTCCAGTCATTTATTAGACGTGCTGAAGAATTAGCAACAAATATGAGTATAAAAGGTAGTTAGAAGTGGATTATTTTAAGTTCCCAGTTCACTAGGCTAAAGGTAAATGACATTTCACAGCAGAGAATGAGTGATGAAGTGAGTTTTGGGATTCTGCAAATTGTTTAAAACAAAATTAGTGGTAGTTGTTTTATCTGCTGCCTGCTTATAAACATAGTATTTGGTCTGTCATCTCCACAGCATCTGCAGTATAAAAGAAAGGAAAATTGTGTTTCTTCTCTAAAAGGGCTTAATTTGTTAGTGGCATATTCTGACTAGCTAGGGAATGAAGGTTATTACAAGCACCTTTATTTAACATGCTACCAGCTATCCTACTAGTTACTTAGGGGTCCTGTTGATACTGATGATGCTGAAATTTGTACCAGATGGAAAGTGTAGCTAAGATACAGCTTTTTAATTAACATTAGAATGATTGAAGGCTTTGGCTATTGTGATGATGCAATATGAACATTTTTTCTTTGATTTCCAGGTCTTGTAACAGATTATCGGGTAAGTACAGCATCAGTGTAATAATTAATACTTGTATACACTTGTATATACTTGTATATACTGGTATTTTCAGGACTTTTATTTTCCATTACTATCATAAACCTAAAAAAATTTATGTTTCTTTCTAGTAAGGATGCAGCTTGCTAAGTTTTTAACATTTCTCAAACTGAAATTTTAAACTCTGTTTTTTGAAAACCAAATTGTTTAAAGGCAGAAATGGTCTTCATGTGCAAAATCTCAAGGTTCAGGAAGTAGAAAGAAATGTCCTAAAGTTGTGGGTTTTTTTTTTCTTTAACATAGTGAATATCACAATTTAAAAATAAAAATAAAAGCATATGCATTTTAATCTTTAATCCATGGAAGCATTGTTGTTTTGAAATGGAAAAAGGGCCTGTCATTATAGATGCTAGCCCCACAACTGCAAACAAGCCAATGTAACAAGCTTCCAACATACTTATTTTTCTAAAGCCTTTGAGGAGAATCCAGGATGCACAAATATAATTTGACTTGCCATGTGACCCTTCCGTTCTGACACCAGGGCATTAAAACAGGAATAGATATTCCTACTATTATTTGACCCACCTCTAGGAACTGCCTGTGGCAATGTGGTTCACTTCAAAACTGTTACAGAATGTAGTTTCTGCTGCAGCACTGCAGCAATGACTCCTACTAACACGGGTGCCCTCTCTTCTCGTTGGTTGCAGCACTGGCAAATCCCCCTGGGCAGGAGGTTCCGCTCCCTGAAGCTTTGGTTCGTGCTGAGGATGTACGGGGTCAAGGGGCTGCAGGAGCACATCCGCAAGGTGATTTGCTTTCTTGGGTGACTTGTGGTGGGCAGGCAAGGGAAAGTGAACTGGCTGGCTGCCTGTCTACTTTCCATGACTTCTGTACACGTCAGAAAGCACAGGCAACAGTTTGAGGCAGCTCAGTTCAACAGCTGGGGCTGCTCGTTTACCCCACGTAAGGTCACAATTCCATATCACGGCAGGATCAAAGCTGTCATCCATTTTATGTTAATCTTTAGGGAAGACAAGTCTAGGAATTTGGAATTTCTACAATATGGGACCATAGTTCCCTCGTGATTAAACCACACTCATGGTTTTATTATGGAAACACATGTATATTCATTACTTCTTTATCTTATTAATGTGCATGCATTGATAGCATGTTTAGATTATGATTAAGGGATACAGCGACTTATTTGGCATTTCTACTTCTACTGCTGCTTTGTTTCCTGTTTAAAATGCATATTTTATTTAAAAAAAGAATGTGTACAATTTACAGTTTGTTAACATTGATATGAGTACTACATTTATTCTTGATGTAAAAAGAAGAGGGTTTTAATCACTAAAAAAACCATCTGGCGCCAGTCTAAATTATATATATACTCCCTCTGTAGCAGTAAAGTCAAATTCAAGCATACCTTTCATCTTTATGAAGTTTAGGGAAACTTCTAGTTAGGGGAGATCCATGACTTGGCTCTAAATATTTACAAAAATATCCATTAGCTAAAGGTCTGGTCTAGCATAGCAACCTCCCTGCAGACACGCATTTAGTACTACATATTGGGGTACTAAACAGAAGAATTCCTAAAAAAGACTTTTTCCACTCTTGTAAAATCACTGTGTGAGGAAGTCTCTTTTGATTTGGAAAGGTTCTGGGATGGAGAATAAGATTGGTCCTTATTTTAATCACAGTATAATTTTCAATGGACTCTCCAAATATCAAAATTAGATTTTTATTCTTAATGAGGCTTTCAGAAATAAATTTTGGCAGCTATGGAATCCTGATGTACTGTCATCCTTATGTCAATCTGATATGTATCATTCTGATGAAAAATTGATATGTTTGTTATCACTTTATTTTTCTATCATTACTATTCCCAGTGGGATTCTCTCTCAGGTTAGATTTCTGAAGACTGCAATTAATTCAGTTTGTTGAATGTAAACATTGACCTGTGGCTAAATCTCATGCAATGGGATAATGAGGCTTCGAAGCCTCATTTTCAATTGCATGAGATTCTAGCTCCTACAGGTCAATATTTACATTCAACAAATTCCCTCTTTCCCTGTTTCCCTGATATTTCTCTGACTGTCCAGCCATATATCACAGCTGAAGACCAAGTTTTGATATTTGAACCATACAGTTCAGGAAGGCTAAGAAAATCAATCTTTTCTTAAAAATACTGACTCCAAAATAAAACCTTATTTGTGAAGGTAATTCAGATAACTAGATTTCCAAGGGCTTGTACAACTGAGTGTGTGTGTTTTATACATCATTAAGGACTACATTGTTCTCCAGTGTAGATATAAAAATAAGTTATGAAAGGGCAAGCGGGATAATTAAGTACAGAATTTGGCTTACTGTATACTTCTTCAAACTGGAACCATTTGTTTCTTCTCACCCCCCTGCTCATTCCCCCCAGTGTTTGCTGGTTTGATTCAGTGGGATCCAGAGCATCTTTAAAAAAAACAAAAAAAACCAGTAGTAATTTCTATCTCTAGTAAACCTCTCTGAACTCAAATTTCAAGAAATAATTGCATTTCATTTGCTCTCTGCTTTAGCAGAATTTAAGATATCTCTTGTGAGTTTTCAGACATGTTGGTAAAGTTATACCAGTAGCTGCAAAATAAAAATTAGAAATGTGTTTCATATCTTGCACATTTTACTCTCAGGAATTATCATGAGCTCCAGATACATTGTGATGGCTTTACTTTGGATGGAATAGCAATGAAGTATGTAAACCAGCCTGACACTGGTTTGTATTTTAAAACCCATACATAAGCTTCCAAATGAAAAGTAATTTTGAATTTAACTTCACTTGTTAACTGCACTTTAATATTGCTTATCCCAGTGCCTGGTCTTGAAAAATTTCTTTCTTTTAAACATGTTGTAGCTGAGCTTGTAAAAATCCCAACATAGATGCTGTGAATCACCTAGGGAAAAACAAAAAAAAAAAGGACACTTCAGTTCCTAAGTGGTGGAAAACCTGTGGGAAGATCTATGCAGTGTTTATAGATTTCTAGTTAGGCTTCTTTTGTGCAGCCAGGTATTACTTACAAAGTGATTGGAGATTTTGAATAGTGATGCGCTTCTGACATGATATAGAGCGAAAAACCACTTTTATGTTCTTAAGAAGCCACCCTATTTGTTGTGTAATTAGCAAGATTCTATATGGAAAACCAAAGACATCTGCAACAGTCTCTTCATAACCTTTTCTTTTCCTGGATCTAAACTGTCATAAAAATTATTCTTCTCTTTCTGTCTTCTTTTCTTCCCTTTTTTTATTAGTATGTTTTAAGAAAAAGATGTTTGTTATCTTTGCAGCTTTAAGGTTTACATCAGATGACTTGATAACCACTGCAATCTGGCATTTGCTTGAGGATGGCATTTAGGAACCAAAATATTCCTGGGACATGAGAGTGTGTGACTTGGATTTAGACACAGTAATTTTTTTTGTTTTCCAAACATTTGTTATGCACTCCTCTCGCACACAGCATGTCATATTAACCTATTGCAAAGTATAGGTTTCAAAGCAGTGGTAAAGGGGAGGACAGTCATCTCTGAAGGATGTGAGGAGAAACAAATACAAATTTTGGAGTCCCAAAGCCACAAAGGAGATGTACAAAGAGGGCGAAACCAACAACAATAATGATCTTCTGGACTGATTTCAACCACTCTAAGTCAGTATGAATGTGAAACTCAAATGGCCCATTTGTAAACGGTCCATTTGCAAACTGCTTGACCATCTATTACTCCTTTGTTGGTTTAAGTCCTCTCCAAGGGTTCATAAGTAACTTGAGAAATTTAGGAGTTAGTGTGCTTTTGTATGCAATCTCTATGAACATTCTGACTCAGCTGAATCCTCCTTAGGACTAGAAGTCATCAGATTACCACATGCCTCTTTCTTCACCAAGGATAATGAATTCCATTAAAAATTAACAGCAGAGTCCAAGAAATTGGAACTGTAAAGAATAGCAACGCCAGATATAGCATTTCAGCAGGGGAGTGGCACAGTCCAGGTGGCTGTTGAGAAGCCTCTTTTGACAGCATTTTCCTTCAGAGTGTAGTGGGATGCAAGCTAAGGCAGGCAAAGAGGTGAAGTCTGTAGGAGGAAAAGTATGAAATGATCAAGACTAGGCTGGTGTGCTCATTTGCATGTACACAGTAGTGTACTCTGATGCTTCAGAGAAGCTCCCTGCAATTAAAAACTGTTTTGGCTGTTGAAGGCTTTGCCCAAAAATTAAAATTCAGTTTCAGCAATTCAGTGAAGAAGGATTCATATTTATATTCACAAATACACATACAGAAACACAGATTTTTAAAATAGGGACCACATCTTAACGCCTCACAAGTTTTCTGCTCCTATTATTGATTATGTAAGACATTTCCCTTAATCTTAAATAACCAAATTCATTAGATCTCTCTGTTGTTTCCATTCTCACTGCAGAAGAGCAAGGGTTATTTACCTGAGATAATAGTGACACATAAAAATTCCTTACAAGTTTCTTTTCTTCAGTCAGGTAAATTTCACTGTGAAGAGCAGGGCTGATATTCTGTTCCTGTAGAGCAAGACATTTCAGGACACTAACACTGTCCATGTGATTCCACTTTGAGAACCCATGTGATGAAGGGATTGTCCAAATCCCTAAATCGTAGAATCATAGAATGGCTTGGCTCGGGAGTGACCTTAGAGATCGTCTGTTTCCAAACCCCCTGCCATGGGCAGGGACACCATCCACTTGACCAGTTTGCTCAGATGATAACTGCTAGAAACAGTATGTGAGTTGGTTTCTGTATGTCCACTTTTTTGCTCAATTACATGACACTGTTAAATAAAATAAATTTGAAAGATTAAATAATATTTGAATGCCAGCTCTAAGTTAATGGTGTAGGGACACAGCCTGACACGGATGCCAAAAACAAAAGCACTTGGAGGATTAAAATATACAAGCTTGGTATGTACACATTCAGCAGAAAACCGAGAACAGCCTATCAGTTTTTTATCTCTTCTTCCTTCCTATCCTTGGCTGCAGTGCCTGCAGTTCTGCAAACAAGACTTTATTTTCACAGTGTTGTCTTGAAAAGTTGAAGCACTAAAGCCACACGTGTCCTCCTGTGAGTTATTGCAGTGCTTATATCCAGAGTGTGGGTGCAGCTTTTCGCTGCACTGAGGAAGCTGTGATACCTAAAAGCCCTTTGGTTTTACAGAGTTTGAACTTCCAGTCTTAATAATATTTAACTTTACTGTTGCAGCAATCTTGGTAGGAGCAATTCAGGACAATAGCTAATAGTTCAAAGGTGCAGAGCCTTGGGTAACTGTATTTAAGCAAAGCTTTCCATGTGAAACTCCAGTTAAATCACCACTTTCTCTCCTTACAGTTCTGTAAAATCTAAAACTCTTGGTGCCCCCCAGTGTCTTTACCAATTATTGCTACTTTTTGAGACTCGCCCTGAATAAAAGTACTTGCATCCCGACATAAATGCAAAATACTTTTAAGGTTTTGTTTTGTGACTTGCTGAATATTTTCTATTTCCCCCTGCTTTTATTTCTTTCAAATTCTTGACAAATCCTTTACTGCAAAAATTGGACATAAATACCTGCTATAAAATATACAGAATGGGTCCAGAGCTTTCTTGTACAAACTTCTCGTAGTAAGCCAAATCTTAAATGTTTGTTTTATTCAGTTCTTACCCAGATAAATTTTGATGAAACACAGCTGATTACATTCATCTGAACAGTTGTGAAATTCCCATCTCATCAAACATGATCTGTTTTGTGGGTTTGATTTCCAAGACGCAGTATATGCAGTGTGGAATTTTGCAGTCTTTTAACATGCTTGGTTAAAGCAATAGACTGTCAGGATAGGAGGAGACAGTGAAAGACCATTACCACACACATGCCTATTTCACATATGTTTTCCATGTGCTTATGCATGCAAGTATCTTATATGTATACAGATACTTCTGGTCGGTTTTTGTAGCTGTAAACTTATGCTCTTCATATTAGCAGAACATTGAAATGCCCTGGAAAGGACTGGGCATTTTATTGGTCTCATTCCTGGCTCAAAGAGCTTTGAGGCTAATTTTAGAGGGAGATGATAAGTGAATGTAACAAACAGCAGAGAGGAAGTGGTAACAACAGGAAGATTGGCTGGTTGTGTAGGATACCAGTATGCCCAATGTGAAGGTTTTGAAGCAATATTTTGATTCAATATAAACTATGTTTTTCTATTTGAAGAAATAAAAAAACATCAGAAAGCTATGATTAAGATTGCAAAATGTGTTGTTTTTTTCTTTTTCTGTAATTTCTGTTTATGCTTATTCTTGTCCTTTTGGAAAAAGTTCCTGTGAGATGAAACATTCCACATTTAACCCTGGCCCAAAGTGAAATATTTCATTTTGGTTTGATATCTGTCCTTGAACTTGCAAAACGCCAAAGTGTAAAAGCAAGAAACAACATGGGCTTAGTTGTTTATTTTTATAAGATTTTTTGCAATAATAAATATATCAAAACTAAAGAACCTTTAAAAATGTTCTTTAGACGTTTCAGATAACTTTTGATGTAGACAGGCTATTGCATGAAGACAAACTCTAATTCTAATAGCTGGTTGCTGTTGCTGGCTTACCTTTTTTTTTTTTTTTTAGGGTAGTGAGCATGAAGCTGATGTTATAGCCAGTGAGAGGGGAACTGGATAGGTACTGCAGGTACCTTTTTTCCCAAGTAGTTTTGAATTCATTGTCTGTTTGGAAAAAAGCAAAGCCAAACATAATATGAGCACTCAAGTATCACTGACTGGTGTTTAGAATTCCCAGCTGGTTGTTACCATCCCTGTTGGTATTTTTCCTATTTATTTGATTTTGGAAGAGCACTGGTTTCCTATGCTTCAAAATACTTCCTTCTGGCTCGGTGCCCAGTGTCATTGTTTTATCCCCAGTAACTTATCAACAAGTTTGCTGAGATTTACTATTCGTTTTCTTGATTATACTGCCATCACCCTTCTTTTCAACTGAAGCTGAGTACCCAGGTCAGAATAGTGAGCAAGTTCTCCTCTTCTTCACAGATATTCTCATATTAAGTTAACTATTCTAAAAAGAGTCTCTTTCCAGCTTAATTTGCACTGGAATTGTGACAATTTTCTCTCTCTGTATCTGTGCATTTCCCCTTTTCCCTCTAAAGTCTTTTGGACTCTAGCCATTACCAGCCCAAACTGACAGTGGTAGAAAACCTAAAGGAGAATTATTAAAATTATTTACTATTAATATGCTATCATATGAAATTGTGCTGAAATGTCTCATTAAGAAATAGGCTAGTACTGCCTAAGATAAATTGAGCTACTAATACAGTAATGGCTCAGTATGGCTCATCTGAACATAAACAGATGGTGACACGTGAATATTATCACATATCAGAAGAAGGAACAGAGAAAAGGAGTGGAAAATACTTTAGCAAACCTTTTCTCTTGATGAATCAAATTTATACAACATAGATATCTTCTTTCTCTTCTCAGCACGTCAGGCTGTCACATCAATTTGAACACTTAGTCCTTCAGGATGAAAGATTTGAGATCTGTGCTGAGGTTGTCTTGGGACTAGTCTGTTTTCGGCTGAAGGTAAGACCTCCCATTTCTTCTGTCATGTTTTATAGCAACACAATAACCTGCAATTGAATAAAGTCTTTGTAATTCATATACCTGATTATTTTTTAAGGAAAGGGAGTTCATGCAGAACAAAGCAGATTAAAGAAAGAAGCTTAAGACAATTTTGTTAAAACTTAATCAAAAGCTTAAGAGAAACTCAAGCATATTAGGACATGGAAATATATAGCCAAGGCAAACAAATGTTGTAACCAGTCATACAAAATGACTGTTATATTCTATGATGAGATTTGATAAAGATGATTGTTTTAGTATATTTCCCTAGACATCTGTATATGATGTGTGTGTGTCTATGACATGTTTCTTGTCAAGTTAATTTATTATGAGTGTATATTGAATATTCAATTTTATATTTATAATGACTATCATAGATGAAAATTGGAGTGCTAAACACTTTTTTTTTTTTTTTAAGAATAGTTTTTCATCAACAGAACTCTATAGTCAGACATGGAAAATTTAAGCAAAATATGTATAAGAACAGGTTACATGGGAGGCCAGCTTCCCAACTGCCCTTGGTCCTGGTCTGCTTTTTATTGCTGAACATGATCCTTTTGCCCCGCTTGGCCTTTTATACCCCAAAATCTCTCAAAGTACCAAGTTCATTGATGTGGAGACCTTGCCTGACAGAAACTAGAAAACTCACTCTGCATTCAAACCATAAAAGCTGCAGTAACTAGGAGGGCTCATTGTTTAACCAGACACTAAAAGGGGATCAGTGTCTTATTTTAAGTAATGAACTCATTTTATAGAGAAACTTGCAACTAAAGCCTTTGTAAAGGACTGGATGGAGACACTGAATCTGACCACCAAGCAACAATAACAACAGCACTAGTGTTTTCTAGTTCACATGATACCTAAATTAGCTTTTAGCTTTTCTGAAGGCTTGCAAGCACAACTTGGCTCCTTCTGGGTAGTGTGGTATTACAATTTGTCAAAAAATTCTTTCACCAGTCATTCAGTTGCCTCAGTTACCTGGGTTTGATGCAACTGGCTGAAGAAGCTAACAAATCTTTAATGATGAAGTAATAGTGAATTCATCTGCAACTGGAAAATGGTTTGCTTTGAATTTATATTTATATTCTTCAAAATAAAAGAAAAAAAGGAACTGTCCCTAAAGGATCAGACAGACTACAGAATGTGGAGTTTTTTCAGTAAGTGGACACATGAATATAATCTCTTTCCTAATAAGAACTTTTAAAAGATTTTGAGGAATTAGTTCTGTGGCTTTTATTGCTCAATAACAAGATGCTGGTTGCAGTCTGCTCTCTCACAGGGAACAAGCAAACACTAGTTTTCCAGATCCAGAGACAGCTGTTAGTCAGTGCTCTACATTTACTTTAAAGGAACAGTCCTGGTGAAATAGAGCATAGCAACACAGGAATTGTCACTTTTGATCAGACCAGTAGTTCATCTACATCTGTTCTTCTGTCCCTGATGACCCAGAGGAAGAAATAACATCTACAGGGAAAGACAATTTTACAATAGGAGGTAAATACTGAATGCCTAGCTAAGAAAATTTTGAAAAAATGGTAGAATAAAGGCCTGATTCTACTGAAAACCAGTGTTGAAAGAGCAGTGTTACCAGTTGCTTGCCTAACTGGTCAAGAAAAAAAAAACGAACACCAAAAAACAACTAACAAGCTTTTAAATAAAGATATTTTTATGGCTATTTTTGTAGCTTTATTTCTTTTTTATATCACTCCTTCAAAAATCTTCCTGTGATTTTTATAATTCTTATTATAATGCATTTTAGAGGCATTTAGAATATTTGTAACTTTTATGTAATTGCAGTAGGACTATGGGTCAGGAGACTTGAACTATATAATACTGCACAGCTGTAAAACTATGAGATATTTTTTCTTCCTTCCTTTGTTCTTGAGTAACCTTTTTTAATATATTTTTGCCTAGCTGTAACTTTTAATTTTTTGCCTTTCACACTGTTGAGCAAATGGACTGATTACCTATGACTTTCATATTATAATTATTTCATCAAATGTATCATGCCAAAGGGTTAGTTTTTGGCCTCCTTGTCATGACTGCAGACAAATATAAGTCAAGCTAGTAATTTCTCCAAGGGAGTGAGAATGCTGTCTTATTGAAGCTCACAGGCTCAATCAGAGCTGGCTTCTCAAAGCTCTGGGAGAGGATTAGTCACTACTAACTTCAATTTGACGTGACACCTGAGTGTCACAGCAGCCCTAAGGTGGAGCTGTGAGAGTAGAACAGAAGAAAGATACATGAATCTTTCTCCTCCCTCCCCTCACCCCTGCCAACTTAACATCGTATAACTGCTTGTATTGCCTAAAAGCCAGTGCTGTGCATTTCATACTAAAGTCAAGGACTGTCATTTCAATAATGTATTACCTTTGATAAGAAAGCAGGACACCGTTGTCAACAGTGACTGACCCGTAATAGGTGGGGACTTGCAAAACACCAAAGTTGTTCTATTTTCTTAGTTAGGAGCATTACAGTTGCATAAATATCTCCTACAAGAGTAAGGCTAAGCCAGGAATTTCAGGATGTCATGCAAAATTCCAAAGAACTTGTGGTAAGTCAGAACAAGGTTTTGACTTTGGTCCAGCTCTATATCTTAATATGATCCAAACCCATGAAAATTATACATTTATCCTTATTGCCAATGGGAAACTGTCTGCCTTATGCTTTGGTTTTATATGGAAAAGGCTAAGCAGGAAAGTCACAACTGCCCAGATTTGAGAGAAGGTGTTTTCTGATATGGATGTTTTTAAGAAGACCTATGCTGCTACCGTAACAACAGTGCTGCCGAACAGATGGATTGGTCCATTTGTGACTCTTTTACCTCAGTGTTCAGTAAAGGAACACTGCAGAAAAAGTGCAGATGTTCCCAGAGTCTCTTGAAATTCCGTTACCTCGAGTGTAATAGAAAGTGTAAAGGTTGTGCAACAGCTAAGATACTTTCCCAAAGAATAAAATTATAGCACTCCAGATCAACCTGGTATGTCCTAAACTATTATGGCAAACTGTCCAGCAAAGCTGGAGCCATCTCTCAGTCTGCTGATAAAAAAGGTAGACAGATGGGTTCCCTTAATTTGGCTAATAAAGACTGTCAAAGACATGCAGCTAGCACTTTAGCCTGTGACATTAAATCTGACAAAAATCCCAAGATTTTAGGGATATCTTCATTCATTCTTTTCATTTAAAGTGATTTACTACTGTTTTTGAAAATCTGAGGACAGATACCTTTTGTGTTTTTTTCAAATGCTGATGGACATGATCTAGGAAAACCATTGATTCAACATTAGCTGAACCTGCAAAAGAACCAGTACTCCTCACCTTCACTATTTGTGCTTGAGGAAAATTAAGTACATTAGGAGGAGATGAAATTCAATACTGCATGCATGTAGTCTCTCTGACCTTCTGCAAGACATTTAACATTTATATCTTTGTTTCTCAGAATGCAGAAGACTGTTTACTTCCAGTGGGTGGGTCAGTTTACCACATTTCTAAATTCCTTCACACAAAAAAGCCACTCTGTAGGATTCTGTGGTGGACACTCCCTATAGAATCTGAGGCAAATGCTTTTTTAGGGCTTCCACTGATAGTACGAAATGTACTTATGCCAGGGACACATTATCTTAGCAATTTCTTAATTAAGGGTAAGATTTCCATATTCATATTCAAAAGACTCTCACAGCAGCGATGCTTAAGTGAAGACTGACAGGTTTGTTTTATGAAAGTTAGCATAGCTCATTGCAAAACTTCCTCCCATGTTTGTTTGATTAGATCCAAGAGTGTAATGACATGGATACAATAATGAATGCTTTTACATAGCCCATGACCTTAGGTCACAAAAAAGCACTCAGCTATAACAAATACCCCAGTGTGAACACTGCTTCTAAACCCAAGGTAATCCATAAATCCCTTTGTAACTCAAAAGTTATCTCTTATACTGTCATCTTTTTGTAATGCTTTGATAGCAAAGCACTGCGAGATGAAAAATGGCTTCTTGTTACTAGTGGTATTTGGGCTTGGCTGTTTGGCAGAATTTACGTATTCCAGACTTGCTTCTGAAATTCATCACAATATCCATTGAATTACAATGATTTCAGGGCTCAAATAAACTAAACGAGGCACTTCTTAAAAGCATTAACGAGGCCAAGAAGATTCATCTGGTCCCATGCCACCTGCGAGAGAAGTTTGTGCTACGTTTTGCTATTTGTTCCCGCACAGTGGAATCCACCCACATCAAGTTTGCCTGGCAGCACATCTCACAGCTGGCAACCGACCTCCTGAAAACATGGGAGCAAAACCACCACCAGCAGTAACAGCAGTGAAGTACAAGTGGAGATGAGGCAATTAACTGGCTTTCTCTGTGTTGCCAAGTTTTATTTTAGGGGCAGGTGGGAAAGTAAAATTATGAAGGAAAAAGATACAAAACCTGTTGTTATATAGCCCAGCTGCAGTAGCAAAATCCTTGCCAGCAAGTTGTGTTGTAACCTTAGTCATTCACTGTAGTTTCATCTTGCCTGTTTCCAGGATGCACATAGCCAAGGAGACTCGAGCTGTCATTTCTTACCAGTTTGTAACCAAGAGCATTTATTCAACCAGGCAATGGAAACGGAAGGGTTAGTGCTCCCTCTGTTGTCCCCACTCTCCTCTAGCACACCCATTCCTTCCTTCACAGATGAAACTGAGAGGTGTTATAACCAATGAATTTAACATTGCTATGGCTTTAGAAGAAATCCAACTTGGGGAAGTTCAGTAACCTGTTTGTCTCTTATCTAAATAGCCACACACAAATGTCATTGTTAGAATTTGGGGCACTGTCATGTCATGACATGCTGCAGTAATTTTGTAAATGAGCAAAGGACAAAGGACTTCCAAGACTTCCTTCACTGCATAGCCACATTGGGGGAGTGACCACTAACTGAACACTACCCATCCTTCCGGCAGGTTCTCTACTTTCCCCTAAAGGGTTAGCTTTTAAAACAGCCATTTTATCAAATATCAGCAAAGAGGTTATGCTGGCTTTTGGTTTCCACTTTGATCATTCATAATGAAGCCTCTGAACTCTCCTCCTGAAGAGTTTTGTCAAAAGCCATGTGCTACCTGGCATTCTATATTTATAACCAAGTTACTGTAAGCAGTGATTACTTGAAAATAAACTGTAAGATATGTTCTGTGAAATTAAGTTATTATTTATTTTTATGGCTACCATTCTGCTTACTTCATTGTGTAATAAATCTTTGAGAAAATGAGCTTAGAAATCTGATGGCAAAAAAAATGTTACTTTTCGTTTCTCAAATTAGCTAACAAAGGACAATAGAAATTAAGAGAACTGACACCCGAAATATGCAGTGGTTCCCCCTTCAGTGGTTTTCTTCCATTAACAATGATGTGTGGAATACGAAAATATTGGAAAACAACTGTTCACAGAAAAAGTTGTGTACTTGACACAAACCATTTATATGTCATCCTGTTGAAGGCAGGTACAGTAAAGAGCTAAAATGAAAGTCAGAAGTGAAATGAAAGTCAAAGCAATATTTGACTTTAAGAAATACTTTTACTGTTTTTTAAAACATAAATTCCAGACAAGTATTTCTATACAAATAAGAACAACCTAATTAGCTACTCCAAGAAAAATAATATGTAGGATTAATTTCTACATCTGCATTTTAACCTTCCTTTTACTGCTCATATTACTTCTAAAGCATCTTGAACAACTTACACAATTATTCAGTTTTCTTCCTCCATGCCTTGTGTATACACTTCCTACGGCTGGGAAGTCGCAAGTAGACCATGAAACATGGAATGGGACAGTTAATTTGGCACACAGTCTGCTCCTACTCACTGTCTTTCCAGAAGGGATTAACGAATTTGAATATGGACTGTGTGGATTTTTCTGTTGATTCTTAATCTCTCACTTCTGAGGTGCAAACTAGGAAGGACTACTATTTCTTTAAGAAATCGATTTCCCAGGGAACAGATGAAGAAGGGGATGACAAATCAATCTGGCAAAACCCTGTAATATTTGAGGAGATGACTGACCCATTTCACAAGACACTACTCTCATCTACAGTATCAGAAATTTTGATAGCATCATTCTCTTTAGCAGAACCAATATGAAATTAAGCTTTTCTGTAGTAAATGCAATAGATTGGCAAACTGAAGAGAGCAGAAAATGCTGGCAGTTGTTTCCTTTCTCCGTTAGTCTTTTTTAAAACAACATTCCTTCATTCTCATGACCTGGAAAACAATGTTCATCCATAGCACATACGGTCCACACTGATACAATTTTACAACTTTTACATTATGAAAACTCTAGAATCTTGGAGCCAGAGAGGAATTACACCTTGTCTATGAGACAGACCGGTATCTTGCATGTCAAATGTATAACCAGGTCCATCCAGGGATAAAAGAAAAAAAAAAAAAAAGATCAGATTTGGATCAAAGCTATCATAGAGTAAATCCAGGATAATTCCACTGAAATGAAATGGAATTGCTTTGGTCTTAGCCAACTATAATTGAGATTAAAATCTGACTATTAAGTATTGGAAAAGAAAGGCATAAGGTAAGACAACACTAAACATAAGAAGATTTTTGTGGAAGTCCTCTCCATGGAAACCAGAGCAGAGGTGGGTGATGCACACCTGTGTGAACCTCAAACTGCTGTAAAACTGCGATGCAGGCAGGATGCGCATCCAAACTCGGGAGAAGTGAAATGTTCCCAACAGACCAGAAATTAGATATAAATCCCTCCCTTCTGAAATTCTGGGATGATTTGAATATGTAACTAGTGAAGGCCTTCAAAGCATTCAGTCTCTAATACCCTCTTTTTCCCATGGGATAATTCCTTTGTAAACTATTAATGTTAGGTCATCTGAAAAGGAAATCTGGGCTATGTAGTCAACTCAAGAACAAGTGCTGAAAAGAACATTTTGAAAGAAGAATATAACTGCAGTTTCTGTTCTGTAACTTTGCAACATATCTGTAAGTGAGAAACACTGTATTTACGAATAGTATGTTAACCTGCATTTATTGTGCCTTTTGTGCAAAAGCTAATACAGTCTGTGCCGATTAATACTGTTTGATATTAAAAATAATTACAAAATCTCAAAATTGTACTTTAGTAGAATACCCACATCTCAAGGACAACTGTGGCTATTAGAGGAGGAGGAAAAAAGCTAACTTTTCAGTAACCACAATTTATTTTTTTTAAAACTAGCAGAGTACTAGTACAGTATTTACATTCTTAATGACAGATTATATTTTATTACTGATGGTGAAATATTGAAAAGATATGTATTTATGAAAGTATTGGTAATATATTATACTCTGAACTGCATTATAAATATTAAATTTCTAATTTACTCTTGCCTTTACATATAAGATTCTGGTCACGGTTGTTGTTTTGTTGTTGCTATTGTTTCTTGTAAGGATAACATATGTGATGAGCAGTACTCACACTGCAGTTGCCTTACAGCAGCAGTCTAAACCTTGAGAGGTATAAACTTCAATTGCTCAAAGACAGAATGAGAAACAAAATTGAGAACCCTGATGACCTGGGTGGTTGGTGGGGGCAGATTAAATAACCATCAATAGATAATATCTACATAGCATATGTAGAGTTTGTGTGACTTAAATGGAGAAATAATCAGATGTTTAATGCTCTAATTGTAATTTGTGAGCTGTTGACTTCCTTTAAAATCTATGTCCAAACCGTGCTGGACAGACATGCAGTTTTTAATTGGCAACATTAATAAACAGAAACAAATCTATGATTTTGGTCTGTCTTTGTTCTTAACCAAACTTTTCCCATCTTATTCATGCCGGACATGCTGTAAGAGGTCCAACTTCTCCACTAATATCAAGTCAGTGCCCTGATTTTCACCATCAATCACTTTTTCTCAGTGTGTCCTTCAAACAAATTACATTGCAAATGGGAGTTCACAAACTTTCCTGAGGGAAGTTCCTCCTCAGCAACATGCATCTGAAAAATACATGGATATAACCAGGGCCGTGCCGATCCTTCTGTATAGCTCTGCGCAGTCCTGCAGCTGGATCTGACACTGGAGCCAGCTGCCCAGTTTTGGCTTTGGTTTGCAGCTCGGGAGCCATCAGGTACAACAGGGAAGGGGCCCATGCCATTAGTCCTGCCTGACTGCAGCCTATGTCCCCAGGGGCAGCTTGCAGCTGCAGGCTTCTTCACTGCCTGCCCCTGTGCAACCCAAGGGAAATGGGGGAAGCATGCCTTGGGAAAAATTTGATGGCAGCAGTATCACAAACTCCAAATGTTAGCTCAGCTGGGTCTGAGATGATAGCTCGCATACTAGCACAGACAGTGTAATATGCTGTCTGCATTAATGGTGTAACAAGCTTAATGTATGACAAAAACCTGACAGTTACTGCAAGAAATGTTTCCCATGGGAAATCAAATGTCCACCCACACACAAGTGTCTGTGTTAATACCAGAGGTGTAACTGCAGCTTAGTGTGGTAATTTGCATCTAGTTTGGTGTGCTAATTTGGATGTGGGTTGGTGTGATCCAGCTAGGGACTGCATGATCAGATTCAGCACATGGGATACATCCACCCAAGGCCACCACCTTTAGCCCTCCAAGGCATCCTGTCATTCGCCTTGTCCCTCTGCCACAAAGTACAGCTACTGCTGCTCAGACCTTCAGCAGAGCTGTTCTCCCAAAAATGCTGTCCAGCATTTTTCCAGGAGCGTTAGACAGCACCACTTTCTGACGCTGCCGTGGTGGCCCTGCAGCTGTGCCGCAGTGGCGGAAACGGAGCGGGTGGCTGTGGAGGCCAAGGGCTGTGTGCAAGAAGGGTGGAGTGCACGTTGCTGGCACCCAAGTCACCACGAGGGAGGCCGGGGCATTGTGTCTGGGCCTATCTTCCCTGGCACCCGCCTCCTGTGGATCTCATCCTGCAGAGTGGGGTTGCCAAGGACGGAGCCCAGGACCCCGCTGCCTGGCTGCCTCTTCTTACTGGGAGAGTAAGGAACAGCGGGTAATGGGTGTGTGGATGGTAGGTGGCCACCGTGCCATTTTGGCAGCCAGAGTCGAGTTTGGCACAGAAAGAGCCGCAGCAGTTCTGCTCCTTCAGTCACCGAGCTGTGCGTGAACGCAAGGGCCTCCTCCGCCTCGCAGGAGCAGCGCATCGCCGTGGGGCCACTTCCCGCTGCTGCTGAAAAAGGGCTGGACAGGCAATAAACATGACATTCTCCAGCCTCTCCCCTCTCGGCCGCTGTAACTTCCAGCCGAGGAACCAAGCCTTTAGGAGGAAAAGTTTTTCCGAGAGGCGTGGCAAAGGCTGGCAGGCCGCCAGAGCCGCCCTGGGCAAGCCACAGCAGCCGGATCACCGACCGGCACACGCCTGCCGAGGGGAGAGGGCCGGCCCGCCAGAGTACGATTTAGCGGGGCAGGCGCGGGAGCGCGCGCGAGGGACGCGGTGGGAGCGATGGGAATGAGCCGGGCGGGAGACGCGCGCGCACCGACCCACGCGCTGGGGGCGGGGCGGGCCCGGCCCCACCCCCAAGGCACGGACCCCGCGCCCATTGGAGAGCGCGCGCCTCCGGCGCAGCCAATGGAGAGCGCCCGCCTGCCCGCCCCGCCGCGTGCCTTCCCGCCCAGCGTCTCCGGCGAGCCCGATGACGTCACTAATCGAGCCCGCCCCTCCCCCCGCTAGCCCTCCCTCCCGCTCTCTGATTGGCTGCGCCCCTCGGAACCCTGTTACCCGATTGGCGGGCGGGGCGGGGGCGGGGCCGGGAGCGGCGCGGCGCGCGGAGGCGGCGGCGGCCGGTGGGTGCGGGGGTCGCGCGCGGCGCGGGCGGGAGCGGCGGGGTCTGCGGGAGCTGCGGGCCCGGCCGGGCATTGGGGAGCGGGGTCCCTTCGGCCTGGCGTGCGGGGCCAACGCCGCCGAGGAGCCCTCAAGGCTCCGGGCTCGGCTTCCCGGCGTGGTGAGGGGACCCGCCCGCAGCCGGACCCGCGAGGGCCCCTGGGCTGAGGGGCCCCGGGCTGAGGGGCCGTGGCTGCCGGCGGGGCCGCATCGCCCTGTGCGCACTGTGCTCAGCCGATCCCGGGCAGCTTCCCGCCGGGATTGCTTGGCCCGCGGGCAGTGAATGGGGAGTGTGCCCCTGTACTTCCCGGTGGTTCCCTGGCCTGCAGGCGGGCGTACCCCTGGTGCGTCTCTGTGTGCCATGAATTCATTCGTGTCAGTGCTTGGGTAAACCTCCTCCCAACTTCACAGGGATGTCCTTGTACTCTAGGAACAGTTCTGCCTGAACGTGCGTGCGTTTGGCTGTCCTGGTGGAGAAATAGTGAGGCTGTGAGGACAACTAACAGGGATTAGAATAGGGGGAGAGAATATGATACTAGGAGATACTTCAGAACCTAAGTGTCTAAGAGGAGGGTGTCAAGAGAATGGAGCCAGGCTCTTCTCGGTGGTGCCGAGCAATAGGACAAGAGGCAACTGATGCCCAGGAGGTTCCACCTGAACGTGAGGTGACCGAGCACTGGAACAGATTGCCCAGAGAGGCTGTGGAGTCTCCCTCACCGGAGATGTTCAGGAGCCGTGTGGATGCAGTCACAGCGCGCACAGCAGCGTGCTCTGGGATGACCCTGCTTGAGCAGGGAGGTTGGATCAGATAACCCACTGTGTGCCCTGGCAACCTGACCCATTCTGATTCTGTGAAAAAACAAACTGAAATTTTAAACTGGCTACCGCTATTCACTTCTTACAACCTTCCCTCGGTGCTGCGAAGGTGGTTGCTAAATCCTTAAGGGAGTGGTAGTGAGCTTGGTTTTATTTTCTGAATGATGGAAGTTACAGAAATATGTCATGGGAGCAAATGCATGCTATTAAACTTTTTCTGAACTTAGCTTTTATGTTGCATAAGATTTTTGATTCAACAGTTACAAAAAAGTTATGTGCACAGTGACTGCTGTTGAGTAGTTGTTTAGAGAAAAGAAGCCTTTCTCTTCCTGTTCACTCACCTGTCACTCAGCTACAGATGGATTATGATGTGAATTTACCCTGGATTTGGTAGGCAGAAGTTAGCCTTCTCATGGTGCAAAAGGTGGCAGTAATTTTTCAGGGAGAAAGTCTTATTTTTGTGGGAGTATTTTTGTTTGTTTTCATTAGATTTGCTTGTAAAGGCACCAGATTTGCAGGTAAAATGTATTTTAACTTTTCTAAACAGCTCTAAAAAGTTGGGCTGAAGTCTAAAAAAAAATTCAAAAGAGATACCTACTCATTATTTATTATGTGTGTAACCATATAATCATATGCACAATAGTCATATTGTGCTCTCTGTTGTCTAATCTGATGCAAGACTTTTAAAAAATAATTAGAGAGGACAGCCCCCACACCCTGTATTCCTTCTGTTCTGTCTTCCCAGTCTTGTATGAACATTGCACCTGTACCTTCATCTGCACTTGTACGTAGTCTGTAGCTGATTCAGAAGAAGATTATGAGTTGACTCATCATCTGTTGGAAGGGGTGCAGAATATATGGACTTACACTTTAATAGTTTTTGTTTTAAGTATTCCCTGTCTCTAACATGCTTGTACCTACTGAAGTTAATAAAAAAAAAAATCCTGTTAACTCACTGAAGTAAAAAGATAAAGATAAGGAGATCGAAATTACTGCATTGAGAGCTTTCTGCAAATCCTGTTGAGGCAGCAGTAAGTTTCTCTTAATTTTTCTTGTTCTGGTGTCTCCTCTGAAATGATAAATTCTTGATGTTACTTGCAATATCTCTGCACATGGTACTTTACAGAGGAAGAAGATACATCGTAAATGTGAGCAAATAATTTCAAATCTTAAAAAAATGCTCCTTCCGAGCCAAATGTCATCTTTACTACTTAAGTAAAAAATCATTAAATTTAAATTCGTCTTTTTAAAACTGAGAAACAAGCATTGCTTTAAACATGCAAGAGCTTTGTTTCTCTAAAGGGTAAAATGGGGACATTTTAGTGCACTCTAAATGAAATAGTTTTGAACATTTGCTGTGAATCTGTAAATATTTTCTTTATCTGAAAGTTTACTACATTCAGGCTTTACTACATTCTGCTTTTACCTCTCCTCAGAGACTTTGCATATAGTTTTATTTTTTAGCTTCATTGTTTCCTTTTTATTACCATCATTATAATAAACAGTCATTCTGACAGCAGTGTATAATCTGTCCTCCCCTGCACTGTGCCTCTTTTCTTTCTTTGAACAGAGTAGAAAAGAGAACCTCAGTGTAAATGCCTTTACACCACAAAGCTGGTTGCTTTTTGAAAATGGCAAAGTGTCCGGACTGTCTGAGTAGCTTGCAACATCTGCTGCGCTGTTTTTCTAATCGATATGATTCGATATGTGTTTCATGTGCATGTATTTAGGAAAGGGGGGAAGCAGCTGGTGCAAATGGCTGTGAAATGCTTTTTGTAACTGCAGGTATTTTCTGTTCCAGTGTCAGCGATGGAGGCCCCCGCGCCCAGCTCCGTGCACCTGAGCGACTGGCAGAGAAGTTACTTTGCTATTACCTCTGACACCTGCACACCTGCACAGAAGGCAGATGAGTACCGTGCCAAAATCCTGCGTATTCAGTATGCATGGGCAAACTCTGAGATCTCCCAGGCCTGTGCTGCCAACCTGTTCAAAAAGTACGCGGAGAAATACTCTGCAGTTATTGACTCTGGCAACACGGAGACCGGCTTGAATAACTATGCGGAAAACATTTTGACTTTGGCAAGGTGTCAGCAGAATGACAGTGACAAGT